GAATTATAGATTTATATATTCTATAAATAAAGCTATTATATATCTAAGATTATATCTAAACCGGAAATCTTGGGAATTATATAGAGAAAAATATAAGATTTATAATAACTATTAATATTTATATTAAATACTATTATCTTTCTAATTATATCCGGTACTATTCTATTAAAAGCCTCTATTTATTTAGGAATAATTAGTATATACTAGAGATTATATTAATTAGTAAAGCGAGAATTAATTATTTTATATAATATATATCTAATATTAATAAAAGTTTATATAAAATACTTTTTATTAATTATTACTAATATAAGAAAAGAAGGCCCAATTATATTCTTCCGAAATTATTTCTAAGCTTACTAATCTAACTTTATTTTTATATATTTCTAATAGTAACTTTTATTAGAAGCTAGTCTTTTCCCGAATTAAATAAACTCAAGTTCTTTTTATCTTTACTCTTATTCTTATTCAAAGTATTAATATCTTTTTTCCGAGTTACTTTTGCCTTTTTTAAAGCTATCTTTAATATTTTTATACTTTTTGCTTTTACTTTTAGCTATTTCTTCTCCTTTTCTTTCTTTTATTTACTAGTTCAGAGAAAGGAGCCCAGATATAGCTTTACTTAATAGTTATATATAAAATAGTTATCTTAACTATATTAAAGGTAAAGTCTTTTCTTCTTTTACTAATTAATTTTATTCTGGAAGGCCTAATTAGAGGTACTTTTTAACTACTATCTTATATTACTTATAGTAGGCTTTTATTCTATTAGCTAGATAAATAAAGCGGCTCTAAATAAGAAAGGGCTCTTAAGCCTCTTATTTAACTAGTTCGGGCAGCAGGCTTTTATACTCTTAATTTTGGCTAGCTAGTTATTAATTATCTATAACTAGAAATAGTATTTTTTATATAACTCTTTCTTCTTTATTTATATTATTCCTTCTATAAGCTTAGTTATAATAGTAGCTTTAAGATATCTATTCTTAATCTTATCTTATTATTTCTATCTATTTATTTCTAGAATTAAGTAATTAAAATTACTTAAGAATTCGCCTAAAAGAGTTAATCTTTACCGAATTCGATTTAACTCCCCTAAGGCCTTCTATTACTTCTACAGGTTACGGAAGGCCAAATTTATTTATTTAAATAATTCTTTAACTATAAACTTCTCTTTTTTCTAGATATATTCCAGCTATAGATATATTCGGCTCGCTACTCTTCCGGACAAGTATCTAAACCCGTACTAAACCCTCTTTTTCTCTCTACTAATTGCCTCTCTATTAATTTCTAGCTTTGCCTATAAGAGTTCTTTAAATTAGGGATATAGGGCCAAGTTATTTCCGTTAAACTTATTAGGGTTCGGAAGGCAGGCTTTTAGTTGCTTTATAAAAGGGAATTAAAGAAGTATATAGAGTAGAGGAAATATTTATATTTAAGAGGGGTTTAGGGTTATTATATATTTATTAATTGAATTAATTTATATAACTAGATTTACTATTAAGTTTACTTATTATATTACTAGCTCTAATAGCTATTAGAACTATACTATAAAGGCCTCTTATAGTTACTAAGGCGCTTTGTCTGCTATCTTGGCTTTATATAGCTATCTATTTGTCTAGCTAATTACTAGAAGTTCTACTTCTATATTTTTATATAATAAAGAAGTCTAATAGATTTCTTTTCTTAAGCCTGACTCAGGAAAAACTTATAACCTCTAATATTAACCGGTATACTAGTACTCTGGCTTCTATATATAGTTTCGGGCACTCTCTACTACCGGCTTTTATATACTTTAAAGTCTTACTAGGGCATCGGCTTTATAGGTAGTTTCGAATAGTATCTACTTCTAACTTTATCTACTCCGAGCTTCGTCTTCTATATATAAGTTCAGGCACTCTTTACTTCTAGCTTTATCTATATATAATCTCTAGTTAGTAAAGATAGAAGAGAGAGAATTCTAATATTACAAGCCAGGCCTTAGTATAAAGAAGACTAGTAGTTCAATTAACTAAATAGAATTCTCTAAAGAGAAAAAGAAGAGAAAAACAGAGAGAAGCGGAACTATATTCCCTAAAGTATTCGAGCTTTCTAAGTAATATATAGTTACTCTATTAACCCAAGGGAATATATTATATAATAAAGGCCCCGGCCTTTATTATATAACTTAATAAAGGCTTTTAGCCAAATATATAAATCGGGTCTTAACCTATTACAGATTTTACCTCAATTATTATTAATAATAGAAAAGCCTATTACTTATAGTATAGCCTACTTATAGCTTTCTAGACTCGGCTTTTATTACTATAAGACTAAGAAAGGGCTTTATATAAATAGATACAAATAATCTAATATAATTTAATATTATTAAGAAATGTTTTTACTATTAATAAAGAAGCTTTTATTATATATAGTTTAATATAAAAAGAATAAAGCTAGTATATAGTATATAATTTAACCTTTATTTCTAATTAGAGTTCAGATATATATAATATACTTCTATAATAAGAGCTATTTCTATGGATTTAATTATAAAAAGAGCCTCTAGCTAGTAAATAGTTAGTAAAAAATACCCGGAAAAAGTAAAGGGAAGCTAATTCACAATTCTGAATTTATAGGCCCTAAAGGATATATTAGAGTACTAAATAATAAAGACATTTTTATTCCGGATAACCCCGATTTAAATACCCGTTAAATTATATATCTAGGCTCAAATAGAGACCCCTAATAGAATATAAAATAGCTACTAATATAAATTACTAGAATACTTAATATATTTAAATAGAAGTATTTAAACTATATAGCTATTCTAATATTTAATTAGTTCTCTATATATGCTTTATATAATAAAGATATACTAAATGCCTTTAGTATAAATAAGGTACTAGAAGGAGTTAAAAAAGGTAATATTAAAGCCTATAAAAGAGATATATACTTTCTATTAAAGTATATAATTCCGGAATTATAAGGCACTATTTAAGTTCTTTAGTAGCTTAATCCGAATAGAGAAAAAGAGCCTAAGAGTATGAAATAGATTCTTATTAAGTAAGGTTATAATATATCTGACTTAAGATTTAAATATCTAAAGAGTACTAAATATACTATATCCCTTAAATACTCTCCTGCTATTAAATAAATATACTATTTAGCTTATATACTATTAAATTACTAAGACTTCTTTAAAGAGAAGTTCCAAGTTAAAGAGCTTATTATAGATTAAAGATATAAGGCTATATTTTTACTAAAGTTCTACTATAAAATTAACCTAATTGAGATATACTAGAAATATAGTAAAACTCAATATTATTAAGTAAAGAAAACTAACTTCCCGATACTAAGGTAGTAGAGGCACTTGAAGCTTATTTAATTAAGATTATATAGAGATTTTATAATTATATATTCTACTAAATAAATATATATTAGAAGGAATTAAGTATTAAATAAGCTACTTGGTATATACGGAAGCAAAAACGCTATAGAATAATATCTAAAAAGGTAATAGATAAATGGGATAATATGCAAAAGTAAGGGAAAGAAAATAGCTAAATAATAAATAAGGTTTATAGATTTAGCTCAGTTAAAAGTTAGCTTGAAACCTATATAATTAGGGCCCTACTATATATATAATATATATAGTACCAGAAAAAGCTATATTTAGTATTTAGGAAGGTTTACTTAAGCTTATAAGGCTTAATTATTATTATTATATTAATAATAAGGCTAGTGAGATGCCACGATCTCTCCCTAAAGTATGGGCTCACGTGACCTTAGCGAGCAAATATATTCGCGTTTTGTATGGGGAAAAATCCAAAAAGTAAAAAGGGTCCGTGCACTTTAAGCCTCAATTATTAATGAACCACAAATCGTATTAAAAATCTGATTAATAGGTATTTTTCGCCTGGTTCTATTTTATAATCACATCACTTAGTATAAATTAATTGGGGTTGTGGTTAAAAAGTTATTATGGGCGTAAAAGAGCGACCATTTTGTCGCTTTTGGATCGGACCGACTGCAGCTCGGCCCTCGCTTTCTCCGGTGCAGAAAATCGGTCGCCCATCGACGGGATGCATGTCTCAGCTTCCCGGAAAGCACTTTCAGGCCCGGCAGGCCGGGGCGCAAAAATCCCACGCGTTCAGCCTTTTCACAAAGGCGGAATTGGACAAGTACCCATTCCCGACTGTTGCCCGTCAGCAGACCACCACGTTTTGCGATAGCTCATTTTGGAAGCATTATTGAGTACAGTGAGGTGTCAAGAATGGCTGAGGCGACGGACGGGATCAGACTGAACCCGGGATCTTGGGAGAGGCGCGATGATAACGAACCCAAGCCTGATAACGAGCAAGGCCCGACTTACTCAGGTCGTGGAAGTTGGGACGACGGATAATACAGCTAATCGGCCTGTGGAAATGAAGGTTTAACGGGGAAGAGTACAACATCAGGAGAAGAGGCCACAAATGAACAACTTCGAGATTCAATAAGAATTACAGGTTTTGGCTGGACTTCAGATGCAGTACGTGCTGCCTACCAACTGAGATATTATAAGGACGCGGAGTTGAAAGCAGTGTTTTAGACTATTAGTCGCATCACCCAGATTCTGGAACCATGGTTGTTCCAGCGTCACCGGAGCCAGCTGCAGCTCAATCTCCAACAGCCGATCAAGGTGGCGAAATTGAAGTTGAAGTGGATGCAGATGTCTGTTCTCCCATTCGCGAGGCTGAGTTGAGGACACTGACTTTTGGACGGATGTAATACCTTGACGACAGTAACTCTACACTCGGCGATGAGCAGTATGTATTAGCTCTCTCTCACTAAACTCAACAGGCCAATGGCTGAGAGTCTAATGTTTGGTGCTGGATAAATCATCGTATTCGAATTTCGACTTCCTTAGCGAGTAACGTCAGGGCAAATTACTACGAGCATGGCCGGAGGTGAGCCCGGGGATATGGCCCGTCTTCGAGGAGTTGGCCATCTGACAGTGATAGATATTCAGCGTGTATGTTTCCCGTCTCTTCTCCAGAATAGACAATGGCTCAACTCATACCTTAGAGCTACAAAGATTCAGGTAAAGGCCCCTGAGAATGCGAAATCTTACATGCCACTCTAACTTCACCTCAGGCTACATTCGACCTAACCACCAGTAACGACGAGGTAAGCCAGACAAACTTCTCAATCCTGAGCAAAAAGTCTAAGAACTTGATAGATGGATGTAGATCGACTGGATATGTTGCATCACATCTTCAAGCTCGTCTCAAATGGAAAATTATGCAAAGCACTACTCCCAGAAGGTATCTAGAGTCTTTGATATCGGTTGCATAATTGTATATTTCCACGTTGGGGAGAAATAGAAGCTGAAATTTTTCCAGGGCACGGGGATATGGGTTATTGATTTCGGTAAGCAGAGATGTCTCATAGAGATTGAGTATGACTGTATTAGAGCAAATTCTGACACATGGCAGCGGATGAACATCCCTCTGCAGAGGTTAGCACCTCCCTTCTCCTTCCCCTCAGAATGTAGAAACCGAGTGCGCAATCGAACAATCCGGGAATCTCTCCATCACTTATCCAGATTGACTAGTTGTGTATCCAGGTCCTGGGCGTCGACTTAGCACCAATACAACCCGAATTCGTCCCCCCAAACTGCAAGTTCGAAATCGACGACATAGATGAAGACTTCACCTACCGGCGCCCCTTTGAATTCATCCACTGCCCCTACATGGCCTACATCGTAAAAGACTGGCCAAGACTCATCAGCCAGGCTTACCAGTACGTCTCCCCCTTTTGCCCTCTTAACCGAGCTCACGTGATATACAGACACACGGCGCCTGGGGGCTTCTTCGAATTCACAGACTTCGACTTGGTAATAAGAAGTGACGACGGCAGCCTCGACAACACGACCATGAAAGCCTGGACCGAAACGATGCCTCAAGCGAGACGAATGCTCGGTCGCGAGCCCTGTCTAGGACCTAAACTCGAGCAATGGATCCGCGACGCAGGCTTCACGATCATAGTGATAAAATAATACAAGCTGCCGATCGGGCTGTGGCCCAAAAGTAAAGGATGAAAATTCCTGGGGCGTATTATCACGCGACGGTTACCCAGGGGGTCGAGGGCTTTAGCCTGAGGCTGTATATGAATGTGCTGAAGTGGAGTTATGAAGAGTTGCAGGTTCTGTTGGCGAAGGTGAGGAAAGATTTGAATACGAGGAGTATTCATGTTTATACGGCAATGTATAAAATTATTGGACAGAAACCGGGGGTGTCTGAGACGGCAGAGTAGAGGTTGAAAATGGCGATTGATGGGAGGAGATTTGGTGAGAGTGCGGCATTTCTCGTTTGTTGGTTGGGTTGGACACATGGATGGGAACCCGTTCCAGGGTTACTTGACATTGGGATTGTTTTAGCGCTAGCATGGTTGTTTGCAGTTCGAAATATTTCCCTGTTCGATGCATTCACAGCTAGTCTTTCTAGAGCTGATCAAAGTAGGAGCAGGGTGGGTAATAAGCCAGCCGGCTTATCAGCTAGCTTATCAGCTAGCTTATTAAGCCATTCAGCCGGACCATTTTTATTATATCAGTCAGTTAGCTGAAAATATACTAGCTTATAAGCGGCTGATTAGCTGAGGCTTACTAATATCGCGATTTTTGGGTCCCCTTAAAAATACCAAAATGGGTATTTTTGGGGGGGTATAGCGGGTTAATTATATAATAATCGCCTTAATAATTAGGCATAATGGACTAAAAATCTCTTTATTATTTTATACGCCTCGCACTTGATTCCTTAATTATCATTAAAATGGACTCCGCACCCGCCCCCATTAGTCAAGCTTCTCGTAATCTATTAATTAGTCCTTCTGAATCGTTATTAAATATTCCGAATGCCTTCGCCCAAATAATGCACGATACGCCTACAGAGTAACGGAAGGGCATACGAGATCGGTATAATCGACTAGTGCCAACTTATAATCGAAACTATAACCCTTATGAGCCCCCTCCCGAAGATAGATACCCTGATTACTTTCCATATACTTCAGGAGAGCCTTTGTATGATAATCGCCCGATTATAATTATACGGCTTCCAAGAAAACACGTTATTACAGGTGCTAGCAAGAGAAAGAGGACTGCTTGGGTCTGGCAGCTTGGATATGCTCTTATAGATACAAGTAAAAAAGATAAGCCTATTATATAGGCATGCAAGCTTTATATATCCTTTTTATTATTATATTATGGATATATGCTTATTAATTTTCCAGGCTACTATAATACTGAATTTTCCAAAGGCCGGGAATAGTACTATAATAGTAACTCTCTCAAAAATACCGAAAATCACCTCCTTACCTAATACTTTCTCGATTACCAGGGAGATATATGGAGAGTATAGTATGGAAGTAATAGTATATAAGCTTTAGGCCCGGTTAATGGAGGCTATAAGCATATGATACTGTTCCGTTAATAGGAATTTATAAATACGTTCATTAAATAGGTTATAATAGATAATATCAAGTCTCGCAAAGCAGCCTCTTCCCGATTTAAGTATGCCTTCAAAATTACTAATATGCAAGCTGTAAATACTTTACCGGTTACTCATAATATAGTAAAGTCCTGGATTAATAAGATATTTTATTATTTTAAACCAGAAATTAAAGAAAAGATTCGGATAGCAAAATCACGAATATACTATACTTTTAATAATTAAGGATTAAAGCATGAGAAAATTAGTATTATTGGCGTTATTATATATATAGTTAACTATAAAGGAGAGAATATAATACGCCTAATTAGGCTACTAGAGCTCCCTAATTATAGGAAACATAGTATTAGTAAGTTTAATTTTTTTTTGCTATATTTATGCCGCTATAAATAGAATTTTATATAGTAGTATTAATAATTTATAAAAGCGGTATAGCGCTATTCGGGTATTCCCGAGCAATTCTAGCTAATAGGAGCACTTTGGCCGGACCTTAATTTACTTCCGAGATCACATGACTAACCCCCTCTATTAGATCAAGCTATAGTAATCCTACTATTACTTTAATGTTTTGGTATTAATAAAGATAATTTGGGCTATTTTATACTTAATAATGCCTCTAATAATAATACAATACTATAAGAGCTCGGCAAACAAATGGAATTTAATCTAATTCAGAAAAGACTATACTATATGAGACATATCCTTAACCTTATTATAGAGGCTTATTTATTTAGGCAAGACAAGTCAAGTTAGAAAGAGAATTTTACTAAAGCAGGAGCAAAAGAGCATCGAGAGCTTTAGAGATAGCGAGAAGAGCTAGGGAAGCTATATAACTTGGTTATATACGTTATGGGATCAGGGAAGTAATTAGACGTCTTTACCAAGTTGTAAATTGATTCTAATATTAGTATTACTTCAGGCAAGCAATAGAAGCTTATTCTGGATAGGGGGATATGTTAGAATTCAATATACTTAATAATTAGGCGAGCCCTTGAACTAAAAGAGGCCCTAAATATCTATACTAATAATTTGAGAGATTCCGACGATTTTAATAATCAAGAGATCTTTCAAGAGAACTATATTACTACCACTAAATAGAGAGCCCTAGAGATTATTAAAAACCAGCTTAAATCGCTTTTCCGATTAACTAAGGACCTTAAAGGCAACCACGATTTAAAAGACAGAGTACGAAAGGCATTATATAGTACTTTATAGGAAATGCTTCCTGTCTTTGAGTTCCTTCTTAGTTATTTTGAGAAGCTTAAAAAGAAGGCAAAAGCTAGAGATTTTAATAAATATCCTGGTATTCAAAGCTTAATTACTTTAGCTTGAAATACTATAACGTCTTGGTATAAGAAGACCGATAACTCTCTTATATAAATAGCTTTAATAGTCCTATATTTTTGATTTAAGTTTACTTGGTTTGAGCAATACTAGATGTTACCTAGGGAAGTACGTACTCTTAGTTTAATAAAGACGAAGATACGTAAGCTTTGGGAGAAAGAGTATAGGGAGGATAACGGAATAGGTCGTACTAATTATTTCCCGGAGCCTGAAAGACAAGTGTCTTATCTAGAGAATATACTAAATTAGATAGCGCCTTCAAATTTATTACGTCCTAAAAGGCCTATATGCTCAAGAGATAAGCTTTCCTTATATTTAGCTGAACCTCTAACTAATCTTTTGGGCATTACGGAGTATTAGAAAGCACGAGAGTCTGAATAGCCTTATCTTGCTAGAATGGTATATGATTTTCTTAGTATTCCCGCTATAAGCTCTGAGTGCGAGCGGGTATTTTCCTCCTGTGCAAAGATAACTTCTCCTGAGAGTTCTAGACTATTAGGTAAGAGCTTATAGCATCACGAATGCTTAAAGAACTGGCAGAGAAGAGGGGCAATTCAGATAGAAACGTTTGGGGATGCTATTACTCTAAACCTGAAGTAATATAAATTTTATAAAAATATATCTTTAACTAATCAGCTGCTGATCAGCTAAATCAGCTAAGCCAATCAGCTGACCCCCATTATATAAGCCAATCAGCTAGCAAAATACCTTAGCTGATGACTGACTGACTGGCTTATTACCCACCCTGAGTAGGAGAGACGTCCAGCTGTCGATATGACATTTCCTTCTTCTCACTTGAGTAAGCAAGTCAGAAGTCAAACAGGACATTAAGAAGCCCAACTCCCCCACCGAGATAAGGCACACTTTACAAAGCTGGTGAGATTCGAAGATGAATGGCTAGCACCATCTCTCTCCCAACTCTGGGGATTTTATAGCAACAACAAAGCCGTTCAATAGAACCGGCAAGCCAGTCGCGGGGAAGTCGCTCTTCAATTCAGACGCCCTATGCGTCCTGTCCTGAGAACGAACCGGGTATTATCTCCTCACCTTCATGCCCTTATCGTACAATGTGGCCATCCCCGAACCGTAACGAGAAACCATGAAATTGCGCCAACTAAATCGCCATCGCCCATCCCACCAGTTATCACTATTCTCCAACCACATGTAGCTATTGGTATCTCGCAGGATCGTGCTTGCCAAGGATCCACCATGCATCTAAAATCCTCGTTAGCCATGAAGCTCCGGGGACTTCAACTAGAGGTGAGAGCGGATATGAAGGGAAAGGGGATAACGTACGCAGAACACCGGGAATCCAACCGAGGATAGAGAGACCGATGTTGATCAGGAAATCGGCATTGCATCCTCTCCTGAAGAAGACGGCGAGGGGAGGAAGAAAGATGGCGAGAAAGTAGAGGCAGATGTCGGACTGGAGGGGTTTGTTAGTCACGCTTCCGAGGAGGGTTGAAAGGGGGTGGTGTAAGGTGACGAACGGTTGATGAGCCTTGTTTAGCCATGTTTGCTTTGCTTTGGTTGATTGGAGGGGTTGAGGGTTCTCTTGGTAAATGTTTTCGATGATTCGTTGCGCGTTGCTGTGCAAGACGTTTGAGTTGATTTGATATGGAAAGAAAATTGTACGTCTAGTAACAGCAGATATATATTTTATAAATCAGTCGTTGCCAAGATTCACTGCCCGGATGCTCGATGACGTATGGCGGGGTTCTGAATTGGGAGCTCGGATCTGAGCCCCACTTCCAGCCCTACAAGAACGAGTACGAGAATGAGAACCGAATTTAGACCTCCTTATTGGGACGTATTTGCAAATATACGCATACGTATACGTATACACATTTTGCGAATTTCTGAAAGTGCTACTTGTAGTTGGCAAGCTTGGCAAATATGTAAATATCAACGAGCAACGAGCAAGGAAGGGTGCACGTGACCTTCCTGCTACGCTTCACTCACTTCACCCCACTTAAAGTTCACCACATCTCATCTTCGACGTCAACAGATACACCAATTGCATGTCTGCACCACCCATCACCGGGAGCCTCAATGCGGGCAATGATTCACAGTGTGTCAAATGAGTAGAGTAGAGTAGAGTAGTGGGTCCTACTCATACTCTACTCAACCAATTATAGCGCTACTCATACTCTACTCATACTCTACAGTACTCAAGCTACTCATGAGTAGTATGAGTAGTGTGAGTAGGTACCCACGTGACAGGCGCACGTGACAGGCTAGCCTAATCAGGTAAGCCTCTCTTCTAGCGCCGCTCTAGCGCCACGTCTCTACCCAATTAGGCAGTGGCATTACTTAGTAAGCGAGCCAAAGGTCAGGGGGAAATCAAGATTCTAAGGAGTATAACTAGTTTATTATTATAGAAAATTAGTATTTAGCTAGTCTTATATAAGCCCTAACTTACCTTTACTAGGGCTACTTAATAAATACCTTTATTATTTAATTATTATTAAATAAACCTTAATTATTATTGTCACGTGACGACTACTCATAACTACTCATACTACTCATGAGTATATACTCTACTCTACTCAAATTTTTAGGACATTACGCTACTCATATTCTACTCACGCTACTCATGAATATTCATGAGTAGTATGAGTAGCGTGAGTAGTTTTTTGACACACTGGCAATGAAGCCAGCATAAACCCGACTCAGGAAGCCTCCTCCTCATTAGCACCACATGAAGAATCAACCTCTCCTCCCACAAAAGAGATCACGCCACCAAACTCCCACAGCAAACCCTGCTCCCTCTGCCAACGCCCCCGAGATGCCCTAATCCGGTGCCAAATCGACGAAACTAAGAAATGGGTCTTCATCTGCACCAGTAAATGCTGGCGAGAAGTCAGCGGCTGACGTCCAGATGGCGACAATGAGCATCCGCTTTTCAGATATGGGGGAATGTGGAGGAATAAACATGAGGTGGCGAGTGCAAAAATGAAGGGAAAGGCGAAGGAGGAGTGGAAGTATGCGACGCCGAGCGAGCATCGGAGGCCCAAAGGAAAGAGCTGGAGGAAGGTGGTGGGGAAGGATAGTGGAGAGTTGGGGGATTTCAAGATTGGGGATGACGATGGGGGAAGCGATACCGAGGTGAGCGAGTTGAGTGAAGGCAAGTGTGAGGAGGAATTGCTTGATGGGTTTGAAAGTGAAGGCCGGGAGAAGGAGAAGGAAGGAAGGGAGTGATGGGTGGTATCGCAAGTGTGAAATTGATGAGAAATCCAGGTATGTTCATTCTTACAGTTCAATGATAAAGACTCGCATAACCCTCCCAAAGCACCATCAATTCTCTTCTTCCTCGGCTACAGTGCTAAGAGACTTAGACACTGTCTCTCCTTCAGATGCCTGCTCTGGCTGCCGGAGCGGCAACGCATCCTCAACAAATTGCTTCCACTCCTCAAATTGTCCCAAGTCCTGTTCATCTGCCTCCGCGTACTCCATGGCCTCCGCACGGAGTTCCCACAGTCTGGGGTCATCAAACTCTCCAGCAAGTTCCAATCTTTTGATCTCCTCATATCTGTCGCAAAGCTTCCAGAGAATCAAATGCCCGTCTTCAAATGTCTCCCCTATCACTCCATCATCCGCCGTCATTTCCTTTTCGACTTCATCACCTCCTTCCGCTTTTGAAAACTCTTCTTGTTCCTCACCATCGATTGTCTCTCCTTGGCCAGGAAATCCATGGTTTTGTCCACAAAAGCAAGTATACCATGCTGGACGGCACACAAAATCTGTTGAGCTTCGATCCTCCTCACCTCCTCCTCTCATTTTCACCTCCGAGTCTGCTTCAAGATTCTTTTTGGCATATGGCGGTCTCGGAGCGCATAATGGACATTTGGAGCCAGGTGGGAAGAGCTTGCAGAATTCACACGCGTCTTCAGGACCTCCTCCCCTGAGATGGACACCGAGCAAGTGTTCCTCGTCACTTTGGTACTCCTTTGCGGTCTTATAATCTTCATAGGTCTCGTGGTCATCGCTGCTTTGGTTTTCGTCGTCGCTCTCCAGTTCGTGGTACTCTGAGGAGCCATTCTCAGATATATTGGATCCTTGCTCATCGTCGGAGTATTTGGGTGGATGACTTTGTTCTGAAGCAGTGTCGGGATAGTCAGGGGGAAGCCTTGAGGTAAGTCCCTGGTCGACTTGGTCGCCGACATTAGTGCTGCTGGACTCATCTCCGTTGCCATCGTCCTTGTTTGTAGGCCCTGTCTCCAGTGCTTCTGAAGTTGGTTGTTCGGGTTCTGGAGTAGTCTCATGAGTCCAGAGGTCAGAGAGTCGATGCGGACATCTAGGACAAGGCCTCATGGGCTTCTTGGTTTCGAAATTAGACGTGTCAGAAGAGTTATCCATGTTGATGAAAGCCCTTTCTACTTTGGAATCTTGAACTGTTAATTGAAATGATATCGAAATGATCATGATTTCAACCAGCCGTGGGTTCCAAACTGTCTTGATATAAAGCGACCCTCGATCGAGCTTCACCACTATGATTCACGAATTTCGAAATGCCGCAGGTGGTTTGTCTGCATTCTTCTAACTCTTTGGTTCCACAAAGACATTTGCGTGAATCATCACCTCCCTCGTGCATCAACCTCCCACTTTCTGTCTGCATTCTCATTCACGGTTTCAAGGATCAAGAGAAGCAAATAAACAAAGCCCTTCATATTCTCTAACTCATGAACCTATAAGCCTCCCAGCTAGCCCCCCACTCAGGCCACCAATTTCTACCCCTCCCTCCACCCCTAAAATTTACCTCCCTCTCCCTCTCATCCTCGCCCGCATCCTCGAATCTCTCATTACTTTCGCCCCTTTCACGGACCCTTTTCACAAACCCCTTACACCTTGCCCCCTCACACCCCGTAATCCACTCCTCAACCACCCGTCTCTCTTCAGGCGTGCAGTAATCCCTCTCCCTGCTTCCACGTCTCCACCACCGCGTTTCTGCTTCAACCTCTGCGACATGCTGATTCTCATCACCCACTCTCCTTCCATTTTTTACTTCCTCTTCGCCTGTGGGTTGAATATGGACACCGTTCCTTCCCTCATGGTCTGCACCATCCAAAGCGAGGTCTGAGATATTGTCGTCGAACTGCTCTCGAAAGCTGCTCACTCTTACTCTTGTGTCTCTCCTCTCGCCATCACCGCCATCTCTCCTCTCCCCCTGCTCTGTTCTCACACTCGTATCGCGTGGCCTTCCCATCCTCTCACCAACGAAATGCCTGAAAATGTTCCCCTCTTTGTTATCTCTCTCTTTCCTCCTCTCTCGTTGTCTCAGCTCGTTCTGGCTTTGCGATAAATGGACCATCAAATCCTCATATGCGTTATTTCGATGCCGTTGTGATAGGTTAGGTAAAGAGTGGAATACTGTCCTTTCATAGGGTTGATGAGGGCGTATAGGTTGGGAAGAGGAGGGGTTGGAAAAGCAGTTGAAGGGTATGAATGTTGGCATTCTTGTTTTTTGGATGGACGAAGAGATGTTAAAATTGGTTGGAGGGCATATGTCTAAGAAAGTGGGCTTTTCAAAGGAAGACAAGAGAGGGAAATTTAGAGCTAGTCGAGTCAAGGCATAGTTCAGTTCCTTTCAAGACAATCACGCTGCATCATTGAATCTTCAAGCCGATCACTAAATTGAGCTTCAAAGCTGGTTCATGGATCTCAGTTTCTAATTCCAATCACCACTTTCAGCTTACCCCGAGGGCTATTCAGGAAATCATTGCATTGAATAAGAACGACCCCAGAAAGTTCGGTGTCTGAATGGTGATCCAGGATGACCTGGGGCCAACTTTCACCCTCCATAATAAACTCGTCCTCTGCAGCTCCATGCCGCCACGATATTTCCACTACCAATATTCGATTCTCCCCCCGGTGATATTCTCAATTGAGATGAACCCGTACCCAGCTTTGTATGCTCTTCATTTTCCTCCATCTCTCCTATCGTACACTATCCACACACTCTCTCAATTTGGGCTGGGTCCCCGGTAGAAATCTGCTTGGGCCTTGGCCTTGGCTGGTGGCGGACAAGCTTTACAGTCACAGTAGAAGCCGTAATTATCATAGAGGGTAGACGGAGCGTCGCAGTATGAGATAGTGATTTCTTCTCCCTTGGCTATTGGAGAAAGGGATTTGACGATCAGACGGTCTTGCGCGCTGTTGTACTTGTATGTGCAGGTTGAGAATGGATGGCAAGCGTGGTTGAAGCGCGATGACTTCAGGAAGATGCCGCCTTTGCCGTCAGATGTCTCGAAGCTAGGACGCATAAAGTCAGCATAAAAGGTTCTTGTATTCAAGGATATGATAATTCCTAAACTCAATTGCTACATACCGATTGGTCTTGAAGATTGCAAGAACCTGGTATTCGCTGACACCCTTCCAGCCAAATAGAGATCGATACTCTTCCCTCTCCTCCAACGACAACGCCTCGTACTTATAGAAGACCTCTATGTATGCTGCTCGGAGTAGCGGCTCCTCAGACATGATGACAGTATCCTTCTCAATGTTCTTGGTGGCGAACGCTCCGTACCCGCCCTTCGGAGACTTGCGAACTTCGAAGAAGTTGGTGACGAAGAGAGGTGGAGCTTCGTAAGAGGTTAACGGGACGGTTGAGGAGGAAGAAGAATAGGAGGAGGATGGGGTGAGAGTTGGAGGAGGAGGAGAGGGGGTCATTGAGATTCGGCCACGGTGAGGAGCTAGGTTTGGAGAAGCGGGAGGGGTCATCAGAAGCTGGTGTTGTAAGGAGCGTCTCGAATGTCGAGGTTGGGCTGAGGGTTTGGCTGCGCCCTTGATGCCTCGATAGGCGTTCTGTGGAAGTTGAGCAATGTTGTCACTTCGAAGTCCCCGAGACCAGCTCACCTTGTCAAACTTGAAGCTGGCCATCCAGGCTTCAAAGTCCATGTGGACCCCGGCGAGAGGTATAACAGCCCACTGACCGGCTGAGTTGAGGGTTGGGATCATGGTTGCAAGTTTGTGGTTATGTTGAAGAGGAAGAGGATGAAGTTGTCTAGCTGAGACGAAAAATATTAGTTTGTGCGTTGAAAAGATAACTGTTAATCCGCCGATATCGGGAGTCCAAGTAAACAAGAAAGAAGAGAGATCGGATAGAAAAGAGGCCTAATTAAGCGTCGGTGTCGGTGGTTGTTGCGGCGTGTTAGCAGTGAGCGAGGAGACCAGATAGCCTCAAAAAGCTAGATAGACTGTTTGGCGAGTATGGCCTTGATGGAAGAAAAGTAATCATGCAAAGCGGGTGCAATCAGACGTTTCTGAAAGAGTAGATGGTTTCCTGAACCAGTAAGGCAAAGTGGAATCTTGGTATCCAGGACAAACCACAACGTAAAGTGTGATGTTGTGCTGATAAAGAGTTGGTCCTGCAAGTTGAATTGAAACTTTGTTGGCCAAGCCAAGTCTTAAGGTGAAGTGTGACTTTGGTAACCAAGGGTTAATCTTGTAGATGCAACTGCCAACTCGGTTGACGAGAGATGATTCTGGGGGATGGGTACGGCTTTAATGATCAAGAAAAGAGTGGAGATGATATCATCGACGCTTGCAAGGCGGGTGCAACTAGAGGGGTTTGTTGAAGACAAGTTGATTTCCAATTATAGGAGGCGGGCTCGACCATTCTTATTTGAGGAGGAAGAATCAATCGATGTCATCCACTCTTCCAAGGGGGCATCGACCAAGGAAGTATCTCAAATGAGCAGTTGAGCTCATATTCCCGCAAGCAAAGCTGTGGCTTTGACGATGAAGGCCCGAGATCGCTGCACTTTAGTGACCAAGATCCCGACTTGTGTAAAGGAGACCAGGTTTAGTTGGTTGTTCCAGGGGAGTCCCCGACAATATTGCTCTTTGTAGAATGACACTGCTGTGCAATCTGACGCGAAGGTTGGATGGAAAGCAGAAAACTGGAGCGCTTGTTTATGTCAATGGCTGAAATGGTCTCGTTCTTTGGAAAGAGTTGTGTGATTGCCTCTCAGATGAAGAATTTCTGTAGAAGATAACAGCAATTGTTGATGAGTCTCGGGCAATGTTCCAAACTGTCTTGTAGCTTGTGAAATCGGCAGTTGACTGGACCAAGCAAGTTGGCTGTTTGTTTCCGAATGCCCAAAGCTTTGCTCGTATTCATCCGCGGAAGCAGGCTGGTGCTTGTTGAATTGACCGTTCCCAACCATCTGGTTCTTTGTTATGAAGAGATCAGGTCTTTGTACGTTTGCCTCACTGAAAACTTCAGATGGCATCGAGATTCTCAGGAAGCGGGGTGCTCTCGGTTGGCGTTTCAAGTGAATTTGTCGTTGATATAGTTGTCGAAGATGAAACCCGACTCCAATCTAAGCACCGCTATCCCAAGCCAAGCTGGGTGTCGCAAGAGATGTCGGACTTTCTCTCGAGGCTCAATCTTCCACCCTGTCCAATTGACCTCTCTCCGTACTCGCACTTATCGCATGTATATGCCGAGTGCCTGCTGTGCTCAATGTTCCATGGGGATGTTGAAATTTGCCATGCTATGTCGGCTCGAAGGTTGGCGTTGATCTAGCCTTGCGGTGATATCGTAACTCCAGAGGTCGGTTGTTGTTCCAAGGGACACTGGTAGATCGTGCTTGGAAAGAGAGGAGGAAATTGTAGGAACTTACAGTTGAACATCCCTCCCCTGGTCTCAAGATGGCAGCAAGCCATCTCCACCATTAATAGTTGTTGTTGTCGTTTCATCTGGTGTTGATTGATCAATTAGAGGAACCGTCATGAAAGTGGGAAGAAAGTAATCTTACTTCTATCCTGCCTTCCAAAAGAGGTGGTGAATACAAAGATTGACAACAAAAGCGGCAGCAACGCTATCACCGCCACGAGAATCCATCTTCAAGCTAAATAGTTGACAGCAATCATGCAATTGATAACAAACAAGGCAGAGGTCATGCTTATGTGACGACGTGCAGTATTTGGAGGTGCCGAAGCAAAAGATATATTTGGGAAAAGAAATTTTAGAATGAAAAAGTCGATTTGAGTTCGAAAGGTCCACTCGGTCACGTGCTCATCCATTTTAAGAAAGACCACGTCCAAGGTCTTTCAATTGTTCGAGTGAATCTAAGCTGACTTCTTTGAGAAAAACATTCCAGCTACTGATCCCTTCAGAAGCTCCTCATCGTTATGAGCATGAAATATTCGTTTCTCTTGGCTTTTAACGTCTCCCTTCGAGGCTTCAACTAGGCCCAAACTGCACAACAGTCACGTCACTGATTCGAAGGCGTTGGCAGGTCCCCAGGATTGTATTTGTAGGACCGGTAAGGGAAATTAACATCGTTCCGGATATCTTTCAGGGCATTTGCATTCCTTCGTTGGACCTCGCCAAGCGGCCTCAATTCCTGATAAAAATCGTACCAGCTCTGTTACGGCCCACCTGTTCCTCAGATCATTTTTGGAGGGACTGAGCTCTCTCTTTGCTTTCATGTCCAACGAATTTGGTGTCTGCAGTATGCGCAGACCATGACTCCGCGATCACTCCCTGTTCACCCGAAAGCTTTGCCTGGGCTTCACGAAGTTTTTGCTGTTCCCTCCGAAGCTTCTGCAGGGCCTCGAAAAGCTCTCCTCGTTGCTTCAGATTCTGCAGTAAGGCCGTGTCGCTCCCTTCCTGATACCTAGCAAAATTCCACCGACTTATGCTAATCTCTCGCTGGTCGTGCATGTCCTTTAATTGGACTTCACAGGACTGCTGTTTTTCCTCTAGAGAATTTCGAATTTTGTCACTAGTACGTTCTAGATGCTTTCATCTTTTCTGAGCGCTTCAGCCCAGTTTATTTTCCGCTGCTTTTCACGCTCTCGCAGGAAATCGGTAAACTTATTCGGGGCATGAGAATCGGCTTCAGTGAACTCTTCCACGGTCTCAGTACACGGAATCGCCATACACGGAATCGCCGACGCGGGCGCCTCTATTATGCCAAAGCTCAATTGAAACGCGGGATGGAGAGTGCCGTCCGTCTTGGTTTGGCCATTTAAATCATGAGTTGCTTGGGCACTAGCACAGGGATCATATTTTTCCCTTTCATCGTCGAGGGCTTCCAATTGGCGCTGTAATTCTCTTTCACGGGCTTTAGAAGCTTCAATCTCGGTTCGAGTAGACTTGACTCGTGGTTCGAGTGCCTTTAAACGGGCAACGGCAGCCTCCCTCTCTTTCCCTTCGTCATAGTTCTCTAAATCTAGCTTTAAGAGTGAAGGCGAGATTACTCGGAGAGCAGACTCATTTTCATTGACTGGCCCGTCTTCACCACTGCTCCCTGCTCGAGATATTGGCCTCGACCCATCACTTCCGTCTAAGTATGTGTCGCACACCGTCTCGGCATAACTCGTAAGGTTATCGAGGTACCTATCCAGCATAAACCCCGCACTGCGCTGGTTCCCGTCTCGCGGCAACTGCTCCTGCAATCGAACTATCTCAGCCAGAATCTGGGCTGTATCTTCTTTAATCGCAGACGTGTCATTGAGGATTTCTGTAGTGTCAGCTTTGATTTCTCGGGCCAACGTACTGAGAAGAGAATTAGCGACTTTCCATTTACTTTATAAGGCTGAGGACTTACAGAGTCACCATGTCCAACGCAATCTCCAGCGCCGACTTATGCGCCTCCAAACTCAATTGCAACTTTGCAACATCCCTCTTACCACTCGCAACCCACTTCGCAGCCTTGTTCAACTTACCCCCCTCATGCTTCTCCAGCGTCTGCTCAATATCCACCACGACGCCGGTACAATTGGTGACTATGCCGGCGATCTGCTTCTGCAACGTCTGCGGAACCGACTGAGTGGTGGAGTCATTGACATCGTCTGCGAGGAGCTCGAGGATAGTCTTCAGGGAGACGAGTTCACGAGAGACGGCGTCCAGGTCGCTACGTGCTGCGCGGACATCCTTCACGAATCCGATCACGACGAGAGAGGTGCGGGTGATGGTCGAGGCTAGGCCGATGCAAGTTGCTGTGATGGATATGGAATCCATGGTCAATCTTTGGGGTATTTTGTCAATGAGGTTCGACTATTCATAGCCTGATTCTCTGGGAAGTCATCAGAGAAGCAGGACGGTGTTGTCGAAATCCCACAGCCTTACCTGAACTCGATGGGAGAACCACAGAACCCCTGCCAGAAATGACTAAGCAAGTACCCCGCCTCGAGGTCTTTTTCATCCTTCTCCATCTTCAATCTCACATTGCTCAAGCCTGGATTGTATTTCAAAGGAAGGAACGACTGGTAGTGCCAGGCCGGAAATGGCCCGGTCCATGTCCAGAAATATGACTTTTTCAGCCCGCAATGAGCTTCGGGGCCAGAAAAGTGTTCCTTGCATGTCCCAAAGACTCCATCCAGCCAATCGAGGATGGTGACTTTGGCAAAGGTTGAACAGGCTCGACGAAGAAAGACAAGGTGGGAAATTGAAATTGACGGAGAAGAAAAAGGGGCCAGAAAGGAGCCCCACAATCATTTCCGCCAACTTCAATTGACTATGCAGATTGAACAAATGCCCCATTCCACAGACAATGCGTGAATATGGAACTGGTATTGCTATTCTCGCATTGTCCGTGCAGGTGATGGGAAGAGCCTGTCTTCGTTAGGGACTTGATCGATATTAAAAGAAGGATGAAACTTTGAGCTTGAATTTGAGTCTGCTGCGGGGTTACCCTGGGCAACGGATGCCCCTATTTCGAATCAGAACCCCCGCTTGCCATGCGCTAATATCTCGTGCTGCGGAACCACGCGGCCAGGCTTCGTATTCTCGTATATCTCGCATCCCTTGCCCGAGGTAAATCCGCCATCTAGCCGATCAAACTTTTCTGGAAGCAGCACAGTGTAAGCGTCCATACATCTGTACCATCGAGCAGTGGCTGCTGTACTCATTGGCTATTTCCTCATCTCTTCTAGTATTCTCCTGTAGCTGCTAGGGACCGGGCAAGTCCCGAGATCGTACAAATGAGCGCCGTAGAGGCGGATCGCGGGGTCAAACCGCATAAACGACGTCCTCATCGGAAAACGAGGTCGGGATGTTTGACTTGCAAACGAAGAAAGACTGTAAGTATTTCAGGGTAAAAGGAGATAAAAAATCGCTAATTCCGTTCGCAGAAGGTCAGCAAATATCTTTGACGAAGTTCTCGTCCGATGACGAATGGGATGAAACGTGATCAAGCTGATCGGTATCTCCTATCTTTTGGTTGATCACAATAAATATCTCTGCTTCTATTCTTCGTCAAATATTCTGTACATGTCTTTACGAGTTTGAATTTTTCCGTGCTGATTTGGTTGGTTGCGGCTAGTGTGATGAAGGTCGACCCTCCTGCGGGAAGTGTATCCATCATGAACTCACCTGCGAGTATGCCCCTTCGAATGCTGCACCTGTGTCTCCAGCTACTTCTGTGAGCAACTTTTTTCATGAAACCTTCTCAAAATTCTGACAAAACGATCAAGATTGGCTTTGGTGCCGTAGCACCACTTAATATCCTAGATCTAGAGCTGATGCATCAATTTGTTACTTCAACATGTCTCAAAATCCACAACGATCCAAAAATGGCCAGAATATGGTCAATCAATGTCCCTGCACTCGGCTTCTCTCACGACTTCGTTATGCACGGCATTCTCGCCCTAGCTGCCCTCCACCTTGCATACCTCAAGCCCGAAATGAGAGACAGATACCTCCCACAAGCAACCTTTCATCACGAGGAGGGGCTTCGGAAAGCCACCCCTGCTCTTTCGCAACTGGAGGAGGGGAACACTTCCGCAGCCTACATCTTCTCCGGTCTCACTCTTCTCTACACATTCGCAAGCACCCTCGGCGACGCAGGTATTTCAGAATGGATCGTCTTTTCGCGGCAAACTTACTCAATTATCCGATACTCAAATGAGAGACTGTTCGCCGGACCCCTTGGGCCCATGTTCGCGGCCGGCGCGAAGCGTTCGGAGATCCAGAATCAGCTCGCAGACGAGGGCCTCGAGGTACCGCAAGCGGAACACCTGACTCAACTCCTCTCCAGAATCTGTGAGACAACTGCAGATGGCTGGAAACGAGAGGCTTATAGACAGGCAATAGACGAACTCCACAAGGCATTCCGTGTGGTGTACAGCCAACCGCTGGATACTCTGGAAGCAGCGGATGTGTACATCTGGGCGCACCGGATCAGTGATGAGTATCTGGCTCTGTTAAAGGAACAGACTCAGGAGGCGTTGGTGATTATGGTTTTCTTTGCGGCCGTGCCGCATCGGGTTGATACGAAAAGGCATTGGTTTCTAGAGGGCTTTAGCGTGCATTTGATGTCGAGGATTTATCCTTTGATCAACGAGCAGCATTTGCCGTGGATTGAGTGGCCGCTGAGGGAGGTGGGGTGGGTCTCGGCTGGGGAGGTGAAGATGTAGGCCGATGCTTTGCAGGAAGGTGGAAGGACATGAGTGGGAGCATAGCTGCCGAGGGAAGAAGATCGAGGTTACGAGGGCAAGCAATTTGAAAACTTGGCGATTGTGATCTTCCCGTAGTGGAGTTCAAGGCGGTTTGCAAAGATATAGAGTAAGGAGCCTGGGAGTTATGGGAAGCTGTGATATGGAATATCTCGAACATCAGAAGTTTAGTGGTCGCTGACTGGCATTGGTGAGCTGGTGAATTCCAACACCCTGTACACAGCTCTGATTGTTGACGAGAAAATTGCTTGTCGGAATAGACCGACCCATTAGATATTTGTCCTCACTTCGTTAGGCGAACGACCACCTTCATCAATTCACTTCCGGAAAACAAGCTAGAGCAGAGAAATTGAGATCATTTCGTTGTTATGAAGCATTCTCTTCTCTTTTCAAATCGAAGGGCAGGTAGCATGGTAATCGCTGACATGGTGAGTCGGCTTCAGGGCACCTTCCTCCCGAGCTCGTGGTCGCCTTGTTTACTTGCTACGCCCTTTCTTCCCGTCCTATCTCCTCTCTCAACACAACAAGATTATTAACGTTACATCACAATACTCACACAGGCATCGATTCATCAACCAATCCTTTCCATCATAAATGCAACACCATCTTTGGTCGAGTCGATATATCAATCTAAGTCATCCTTACGATCGCACCAACGACTCGCAACCTCGTGTGTAAAGGCAACTTCTTTCATCAAGGGAAGTGTCAAAGTCCCAAATCATTGCTTTGACTGCTACTCAGGCGCAGAGCTGAGTGTGGTCGTCACCATGGCTCGCTCCATTCGACTCGCTTTCCCTCTTCTCTTCATCATCGCGTTTCTCTTCAGCACCGTCACAGCCGTTGTCACTACAAACACTGCAGTTCCTACCAACGAGCACGATTGGAGTTGGTTCGTAGACAAAGATTACTTCTGCTCCAACAATAATCCCGAGGTCCAAAATGGATGCAGAGCAGCAGGCACATGTTTCTACCCCATCCATTTCGCCAACCTCAGCCGATGCGATTTTTACGTTCAGTGTGTGATGGACGAGGGATCTTTGAAAAAGAGCAAGAAGACTGCGAAAGCTCGTCTGCGTTCTTGTGGCGGATCTCCTGAGTCTGCGGAGTTCAGTCCTCTCACCAGGAAATGCGAGCCCAAAGGTGCGGAGGGCACTTGTAGTTATTACGAGAATTGGAAGAGGCCAACACATTGGGGGCGGCGCCTCGCTGCAAGGGACCGCGATCTAGTCATCCGAGATGGACCGAGGGGTGCGATCCTATCCACAGAATGGGCAACCAAAACATTTTGCAAAACCAACCCCGAGGTAGATGAAGGATGCAAAGTAAAGGGAGGGTGCAAATACTCACTATATTGCGGTGCCTACGTCGAGTGTGTGATGATAGAGTCGGTCTCATTCAAAAAGGCGCACGCTCATTTCAGATATTGCCCACAGCGACCCAATGCTACCGAATTCAACAGTGTGACCCGGAGGTGTGAAATTAGGGGCAGCTCGGGCACATGTAGTGCGAAGCAACAAGGACATCACCTTCCTGGGCGGGCCATAGACCCTGGACAAGGCATCGGTCTCCGCTAAAGCGTGCAGCGATCCCATGTATCACACCAATGGAGAAAAATAACGCAAAGGACTTAAAACCTGTAGCGCCGCTATTGGGGGTGATTGCATCTCCTACGTCGAGTGTGCTCCTGGCTTTACAGGATTCGGCTCGGTAAAAAATTATTCTCCAAATCAAATGTATAACCCCAGCACACGGCAATGCGAGTCTGCCAACGCGAATGGCACCTGTTGGCAAAAACAACCATTCAATAAGCTTGCTCAGCGTACGAGCACCTCCGTACCAGTCAAAGTTTGATCGGGATACCGGAATATCCAAGCTTCCAAACGTACCGAAAGGGTTCAGGGAAGCGAAATTCAGGCCCTGACTTTACTGAATGTCAGGGCGTTAACTCTATCAAGATGGCGGGTTTGAAAAGACTGGATTGGTACTTGTATGAATGCTCATGGAATGAAAGTGAGAGAATCATTCTTTGTAAGGAGAGCTGAGAGCATAACTTTGTACAACTTTTCGTTCCCACCTTCACTCGTGCAAGAAAATCATGACTACAGCAAGAAACAAGTCTGCTCAGATCTTGAATTGCAGAATCTCTACTTACAAGGCACTCAAGCAAGTTCCTCCTTCACGTACGTCCCTAGCCTCTCCAACCCCTCCCTCAACACCTCCGTCTCGCACACGAACCCAATCCTCACATACCCCCTGAACTCCTCGCCAAAGCACTTCGATGCAGGAACGAACATCACTTTCGTCTTTGCGATCAGATCTTTGCAGAATGCTACATCGTCTACTACCTCCCCTTTCTTCTTAAATTGAACAAGCGCGGTGGTGCCGGCGGTTGGTTTTACCCATGAGCAAGTTTGGGGGTGGGAGGAGATGAAGGTGGAGAGGAGAGAGATGTTAGTTCTCGCTAGTTGGATATTCCGTGCAAGGAGCGAGTGCAGGACGGAGGGGGATAATGCGTAAGAGGCGACGGCGTCGTCGAGCTGCGAGACGGAGATGGTGGTGTAGTCTCGCGCTGAGGCGATCTCCTCGATGAGGGAGGGGGAGCGAGAGGCGATCCAGCCGAGGCGGATGCCGGCTAGGGAGTAGGCTTTGGACATTGAGCTTGTTATTAAGGTGTTTTCGTAGCCCATTGAGATTAGGGACGGAGGGAAGTCCTAGGTGATGAGTCAGTTGTGGGTTTATGAGGGTAAGGGAAGGAGGGGAGAGGGAGGATTAGGGTGGGTTGAGACGAGACGAGACGAGAAATGTAATGTTTAAGAGACTTAGTTGGAGTGGGGATTGGGACGTACGGGGTCGATGGGCGAGATGCCGTGGTAGAGCGGCCGGTAGACTTCATCTGATAATATGATTATATTTTGCGCGCGAGCGACGTCAATAAGAGACTGGATGACGGATTTTGGAATCGTGGAGCCGGTGGGGTTGTTGGGATTGTTGATTATTATCATCTTTGTGTTTTCTTTTACCAAGGCTTTCAGATCTTCGATGTCAGGTATGTAATTCCTTTCTTTCCTCAATTTCCACAATGAGACTTCTGCACCAAGACTCGCGGGGACGGAATATAATTGTTGGTATGTTGGGTGCACGCATATTACGTGGTCGCCGGGGCCGATGAGGGTGTAGAGGAGGAGGAAATTCGCAGCAATCGCGCCGGGCGTAATGAGGATGTTATCTGGCGAGAGAGGGGAGGAGACTCTTGCGGAATAGAGTGAAGCGAGACGCTCTCGCAGAGCTTGAGATCCTCGGATTGCTCCATAAGTGAGCTTTGTGCTGGTGTTTATGGGATGGGGGACATTGGGATCTTCGCAGAGAGCAATGATGTCGTCGATAGAGATTGATGCTACGCAAGTTTCGGCGATGTTGAGAACTCCCGGTGTGACTTCGTATTTGTCCATCCACTACAAATTGTCAGTGATGTGTAGGATGAGGATATATAACTCACTTGCTCGACCTCGAAAGGCTCAATCTTCACCATGTTTGCTGATGTACGTGCCTCGGTATACTGGACGAGGCTGCAAGTCAGGGTGCTGCAGAGGGAAACTCGTTGGCTTGGATCTGGATGCCATTGTGCTTTGCAGAACGGACCTTGTTAAATGTGAAAGCTTAACCTCGAGGTTGAAAAGGAGGTAGTTTGCATCTTTTCGAAGGAGTTCGTCATAAGAAGCGACCCCTCAATCGATGTTGGCTGCAGTGGGCCGTTGGCTGTTGGTTGTCGTGCCGCAGCGGACCCCTGTCGATTTCCACGACCTCTCCAAGGCCGCCATCGCTACCACATGTCTTCATCATTCAGTGCAAACTGACCACATCTTCACCTTCACCCGACCTCCGCCACCTCAATCAAGAGAGTCAATATCACCCTCCTTGTGATACAGCTCGGAACGCTGCTGCGAGCACGCCGCCCTGTCGCCCGACACTCCTTGATGGCTTCGCAGTAGCCTCATCCTCTCCTGCAGCTCATCTTGCTCGTTGTCGGGGAACATTTAGCCAGCAGTGCTTGAGCTACAAGCTTCACAACTCCGTCAAGATCATCGATATGCGCCGACATCTAGGGACCGCGGTCCTTGCAGGCTTATCGCTGGCATGGACAACCTACGGATACTCGAATTACTCGTCCATCGATATGATACGCGCACAGCTGTCTTTGATGGATGATCGGCCAGATGATTGCCCCCCATGGTATGACACTATTCCACCCAAGAGAGAAAATGTACTGATAGAAGATAGTTTTAATTGCCTCCTTCCTGCTTTCACCTGCGGCCAATATTCCGAATGTAATCAATATAATGGCAAATGCTCCTGTCCTGCTGGATATGGCGGAGATGATTGTTTAGCTCCTGGTATGGATGCGCCGATACCCCACCTTAGAGAACAAATGCTGATGGGAATGCAGTGTGCGGTTCTTTAGCAGATGAGCAGCATGACCGACCGATGCGACAAGGCGACTACTGCGAGTGCAAGGAGGGGTGGACGGGAATTAACTGTAATGTTTGCACGGAGAATAAAGCTTGTAATGCTATGATGCCGACCAAGGACGGGGGAGTCTGCTACCAAAACGGAGAGGTCGTACACGAAAATTACCAGATGTGCGATGTTACAAACAAGAATATTCTCAGTCTCTTGGATGGAAGGAGGCCTCAAGTAACGTTCAGTTGCAATGCCAAAGACGCGACCTGCGCTTTCCAGTGTAAGGATTATGGCGAGGATTATGTGGCATTTACTGACAATAAATTCTAGTCTGGGTGGAACACAGAGAATCTTTCTACTGTGAACTGAATACTTGCACTTCGAGCAACGCCAACGATTACGACCAGAATTCCACCAATTACAAGTGTGAACATATCAACTGCAAATGTATTCCGGATCGGATGTTGTGTGGCGAGAACGGCTCTGTGGATCTTACCGAGTTTTTGGATCTGTCAATCAAGGGCCCAGCAGAATTCAATTGTCTTCAAAAAGATGGTGGGATCAACGACTGCAGATTCCAAGAACCGGAGATGGACGCGATTATTCATCAGATGTTCGGGGACCCCAGTATCTTCCTTAACTGCCAATCTGGGGAATGTCTTTACGAGACTGATGTTCCTGGATTCGAGCGGCCCGTAAAGCGGATCAACACGCCTTTGATTGCGGGAGTTATTTCTGGTGCCTCGCTGTTTGTGGTTGCTGTCATCCTGATTGTCTGGTATTTGTCGAGAAGGCAGTTTAAACACGGCCCCATCCATCTTGATGAGTCTGACGATGAGAGCCTCAAGCTGATGGCAGACCACAAACCTGCGTCGTTGTACTTCGAGAACGTCTCGTACAATTTGAATGGGAAGCAGATTCTCACCAATATTCAAGGCATGGCACACCCAGGAGAGATTCTTGCCATCATGGGAGCTTCAGGAGCTGGGAAGACGACTTTCCTCGATATTCTAGCACGCAAGAATAAGAGAGGAAATGTGCAGGGGAATTTCTATGTCAACGGAGAAACAGTCAATGATAATGAGTACAAGAGCGTTGTTGGCTTTGTTGACCAGGAGGACACTATGTTACCTACCCTTACCGTCCATGAGACCATCATGACCAGCGCTCTTCTTCGACTTCCTCGAGATATGGGGAGAGCGGCCAAAGAGCAACGAGTCTACGAGGTAGAGAAGCAATTGGGTATTTCTGCAATCAAAGACTCGTTGATCGGGTCTGAAGAAGGCAAAGGTCGAGGCATTTCTGGTGGTGAGAAGCGAAGAGTTGGGATTGCTTGTGAGCTTGTGACGAGTCCAAGCATTTTGTTCCTCGACGAGCCTACAAGTGGGCTGGATGCCTACAATGCATTCAACGTCATCGAGTGTCTTGTCACTTTGGCCAAGACGTACAAGCGAACTGTCATCTTCACCATTCATCAACCACGATCTAACATTGTGGCCCTTTTCGATAGGCTGCTTCTTTTGGCCAAGGGACGGACCGTTTACTCCGGCGAGTTTGCTCAATGCCAGGACTTTTTCGATCACATCGGATATTCATGTCCTCCAGGGTTCAATATCGCAGATTACTTGGTTGATCTCACAATGCATGTTGGTGGTACTCCTACCACACCTGTCGACGAAGGAATACCTGGACTGGAGACTAGAACGACCAGCAGTGCTGGCCCAAGCAGCACCAGAGCCGTTAAATCTATTGCCAGCATCTCTGGAGGAAGTATTGAAGAGGGTGTGGTGGGAAGCCCGAGCGATTCGCTCTTGAAGCCTAGAATCAAGCGAAAAGACTCAATCAAGGCCAGACAAGAGAGGGAACTTTACACAAGGAAAAGGACTGGGGCGGAAACTCCTGTATCACAACCCGACGAGGCGCCGCTGGATCCCAACGCCACAACGTCACCGCAGCAGTGGCTGAGGCTGTCGAAGCAGCAACCCGGCCAAGTTCATCAACAGGTCTTGGATGATCCAGACAACTTACCTCCGCCTGCTCAAGGCACAAACACAGATTTTGAAGTCTTGATTGCTGCATACGAGCACTCTGAGATTGCACGCAACATCCATGATGAGATCCACTCGGCAATTACCACAGCGCAGACAGCAAATGGCAGCATGAACGGCCATGGAGATGGCAATGGTAATGGGAAGACTATGGGCAGAGGTTATGCGAGAGTTGGCTACCTTCGACAATTCGTCATCTTATCACAAAGGACATGGAGGAACCTTTATAGAAATCCGATGCTAATGCTCACCCATTATGCTATTGCCATCCTGCTGGCGGTTCTCTCGGGATACCTGTTCTACGGGTTAACAGATGACATTCCTGGATTCCAGAATCGACTCGGATTGTTTTTCTTCATCTTGGCGCTGTTCGGATTTAGTACCTTGTCCAGCTTGACAGTATTCGCTCCAGAACGATTGCTCTTCGTCCGGGAAAGAGCCAACGGATATTACGCACCTATCACCTACTTCATGGCAAAAGTTATCTTCGATATCGTCCCCCTCCGCATCATCCCACCAATCCTCATGGGCTCAATCCTCTACCCCATGACAGGCCTCATCCCTGATGCACCCCACTTCTTCAAATTCATCCTCATTCTCGTCCTCTTCAACCTTGCCGCCGCCGCCATCTGCCTCTTCATCGGCATCGTCTGCAAAGATAATGGCGTTGCCTCCCTCATCGGCAGCCTCGTCATGCTCTTCTCCCTCCTCTTCGCCGGCCTGTTGCTCAACCACGACGCGATCCCCAAGTCCATGCTATGGCTGCAAGCCATCTCCATCTTCCACTATGCTTTTGAATCACTCATTGTCAATGAGGTCACGTTCCTGACGCTCGTGGACAAGAAGTACGGCCTGAACATCACCGTCCCTGGTGCGACAATCTTGAGTAGCTTTGGCTTCGATACACTGGCGCTGTGGCCAGATGTTGTTAAGCTGGCTATCTTTGGCGGTGTTTTCATTGTGTTGGCTTATGCGGCTATGCATGTTCTGCTTGTAGAGAGACGATAGAACGCCAAGCTCGGGAGGAAGAGATAAGTGGGGATTAGGGAAAGAATACTTGAGGGGGCCTATTTCTTTTGTTCTTGGTTTGATGCAATGCATTTTACGGCGCAAGGAGTGTAGATTATATAGGCAGATACTGCTAGTTTCTTCGTTGATTATATATACCTGCAAAGTTGAATGTAGCCCCCTGCTTTGAATTTCCCCATAGAGAAGAAGATCTGAAGTAATCTCATGACTGTGGTATGAGCTTCCTGATACGAAATAGAAAATGCAAATAGGAGGAGTAAATGCCCGTTTACGATGATTTACTCCAAATCGTGAAGCCCTGGTACGGGTGAAAGTTGGATTAGTGCACAGGTTTGAGTATCTGCACCATTACCCTCGATTCTCCTGAGTTTGGAGTTAATGGGAAGGCAAATTTTCAATCTGTAAGTCGATATTAATCGGGAATACTTTTTATTTTCTTTGACAGCTAATTCGATAGATCGCACTTCCTCATTCTCCTTGTAGTGGGATGGAAGCTGGTCAGAACCTTGAGGCCGTACCTCATCTGGGTTGGGCGAATGCTGTTCCTGATCCACCCGCAACGGGGGATTTTAATGTCAGAGGGTCGGCTCTCAAATTTGAATGGCAATGTAATTACATGGTATCGCCAGAGCTTGAAATAATTTCTAAACCTTTAGCATACGTTGTGTTCTAGACCCATGGCTTATACGGAGATCGCGGCATAAAGTATCGGGAATACAGGGCATTATTTTATGAAGGCCACTAAATGCCCTGTAAGGTCTTACTTTAATCTCCCTGTGGCTAGTCCTAGTCCCCTGTAAGCCCCTATAAGCTTACTAACAGTGCCCTAAAGGCTTAATATAGGCTTATGCAGCTTGACAGGTGCTAAACGCCCCCAAACGCCCATAAATATAGGCGAGTCCACTAATTAGTAGCGAGTAAAGGGGGGGGTAATTAGCCCTAAGACACACCTCTCCACACACACTTCGTTCTGAATTCTAATTCTAATTGATTAGAAAAACACTTAATACCTTTCGCTTTACTTTAGCCATTATTATGGCTACTTTTGGAGGTTTATTTGACTTCCCTGACTTATCAGATGGCCAATCAGAGCTCTCCTCTCCTCCTGATTCATCAGGTGACGAACGCTCTGATGAGCATACCAAAGATGAAGAGGATGCGTAGTATAATTTACCGTCAGATTCGGACGATTCAGACGATGATTCAGCTGAACCAGCCCTTCTAGTACCTTCATCTACTGCTTTTATACTCTCTATAATTGGCCCCAAAGAGCACTCAACTGGTGCTAGAATCAAGGCTATTTATATGCTTGAGGACAAGAAATCTTTGGGTCAAATTAGAGAGGCAACAGAAGTACCCAAAACAGCTCTTTATCGACTTGCCGCTGTTGCTAGGGAGCGTGGGTGGCAAGAGAATAAAAATATGCCTTTGGAAGTCTCTCATGTACTCAATGCACCAAGATCTGGTCGACCTGCAATCTCCTCTGATGCAATCAAATGTGTTCTCAAAGTTGTTCTTCAAAATTCAACGACAAGGGGCTTTTCTTGTACGACAATTGCGAAGGAAGTAAGAAAGCGGGGTCATGAGATTGTACCACGAACGAATTGGAAGGTTCTTACGTATACAGGCTACTCTCAATGCAAATTGACAGTCAAACCTGGCTTGAACGAGCTAAATATGGCGGAGCGATTGGCTTGGTGTTTGGAGAGAGAGCATTGGATACTTGAGGAGTGGAAAGATGTCATTTTTACAGACGAAACTGCGGTGCAATTAGGAGGTACGAGAGGAAAGAGACGGGCATGGAGATTACCTGGAGAAGCATATAATAAGCATTGTATAAAACGACGTTGGAAAGGCTTTTCTGAATTCATGTTTTGGGGATCGTTTTCATATGACAAGAAGGGGCCTTGCTACGTATAGGAGAAAGAGACTCCTCAAGAGAAGAGAGAGAGAAAGGGGAAGAGAAGGTTAGTATATACTAGATTCAGAGATTTATATATATAGAATTAAAGGTATTAAAAAACAATCAAAATCAGAGGCTTTATAAGCGATAGCGGGGTAAGCCACACTCAGGGGACCCTTACAGGGCTTACAGGGAGCTAGGAATCGCTACAGGGAGATTAAAGTAAGACCTTACAGGCCCTTTAGTGGCCTGCATAAAATATATTATGAAAAACACCCTGTATTCCCGATACTTTATGCCGCTATCTACGTACAGAATCAGTCTTAGTAGCTAGCTGCTGTATATTGTTCCTCATGGCGACTCTATGGCCTCCCATTTTCCCCCTTCCCTTAATTTGCTAGCGGCTACGAGAATAATTAGGACACTACAAGTTCCAATTAAGTATGCTGTCGATTCCTTCGCATTTAGAATGGTGAGTATCGATTTCAACTTCTTATTTCCCCCATTCGTTCCGCTCATTGCTTAGGAAATCAAGCCCCACCCCTCCTCAACAACATCTTTCCAACCTTACAAAGCCAAATCAATCCTCCACCATCAACCACAAAACTCATAAGTGTCCCAAACATACCCACCTTCATCGTCCTATAAATCAAGGCTTCCCTGCCGTAGTGGATACAACTAGCTACATATGATGATATGCCCAAGTTACCAGCGCGTAAAACTGGGGGTTCGTTATATTGTAGGCTGCGTAGAGGCGTTCAAAACCAGAGAGGAAGGCCCAGATGCCAAAAGTGCGTATTGAGAGGTGTGTGGCTTGGATTGAAGCGGCGGGTCCCTGGTGGACCGAGCGAGCTGATGCGAAGTGGAGGAATGAGAGAGTGCTGATGAAGAAGCAGATCTATGAGTTCTGGATGGCCATCAACTATCTTGAGAGATAGAATGGAGAGCTTACGAAAAGGAGGAAGATAGGGAGGGGCCCGGCATGTGTGGGAGATACGATGATATTTTCCACCGTGATTTGATAGGTAGAGTGCGGCGTGAATATTTCTGTTGTTGGAGCTGTTGCAACGATGTTATGAGAAGAGTTTGGAGCACACACGGTTCTTTGCATGAAAGAAAATTGAAGTTGAGATCGAAGTGAGAGACTAATAAGTGTGCGTATAGAAAATAACCTAGCGACGTCGTTTCGAAAGTTCAAGGTTTGCGGTAGGCCAGCTCGCAAAAAGAGTAGAGAATTACTGAATTCGGAATCGTGCTCACATTTTAATCCCCATCCCGGGAGAACTTCGTAGTCATCGTTTACCCGGGGATAATTTGCCGATACCTCTTTGAGAAGTATCTCGTTGACGAGTACGTGTGTCCCTTTCCCACCTTAGGCTTCTGGAAATTGACACTACAACAGTCGCGATTTGCCATTTAAGGACCCAGAAGACCTCCCAGATGTCTACACTACCTATAGCAAGTTACTTGAACCGCTGCGCGACAGCCCTAGAGATGGGGATAAAGCCCTCCATATTTGGCTACCCCTGATAATGCTCGCTTAGTTTTGGTGTTCCGACCCCCCAAAAACACCGATATAACTATCCCGGATCCTGGGATTAAAACACTACTACATTGACTCTAAGAGTTATATTTATAATTAATTAAAAGGATATTGATTTTAGTAAGTATATTTATAAAAGAATTATATTTATTACTTAAGGAAATATAAAGTTATAGGACTTTAAAGTTTGGGGAAGTATTAGGTCACGTGATAGAACCCGTATCGGAACCCGTTATGCAAATATAAATATCAGACTCGAGTACAGAGCAAGTACGTGCTAAGTGGGAAAAGGAGGAGAAGTCCGGAGGAGGAGAGCTACATACAGCTGAACCGCGTCACGTAAATTGAACTGATCACGTGGTCGGATGGCATGCATTAAGTAAGCAGGAAATCCAACCACTGGTGAACCCTGTCATAGGACACCATACACAATCATGTCAGCATCCGAGGGGAGGGGTAAGTTCAGCCAGATTTTGGCTAATATCTCAAGAAAACTATGTCCGGTAACCTTCTACAACAACTGAACTTTCAACACTGCTCTTACAAGACTTCTCCATGACCATGGGGCTTTCGTCGGCGTTTCTTGTAGCGGCGAGTGCTATTGCTCTGTCAGTACTCTACTGTCTGGTCACCTCTTGGCGCTTGAAGCGAAGAGTCATATCACTGGGGTGCAAGCCTGTACCTGTTTGGCGAGTTTGGGATCTTTTCGGCATCAATATGACCATGACCATGACCAAAGCAATGAGCGAAAATCGCCTGTCTGAAGAAATCTACAGCATAGTTAAAGAGGTGCAAGAAAGAGAGGGGCGCAAATGCACGACATTTCAAGTGTGCTTCCCGCCTGGGTTGTTGCATTTCTTCACGTTCGACCCGAGAAACTTGCAGGCGGTTTTGGCTACGCAGTTCAAGGACTTTCAGATTCCATCGTCGCGTCTTGCGGGGTTCCGGCAACTGCTTGGGCAGGGGATTGTGAGTGACAGCTGTTGTGGTTTACTATATTGTCTGACAGCTATAGTTTTCATCTAACGGCGAACGCTGGACACACTCCCGTGCTCTCATGCGGCCACAATTCAACCGCGACCAGATAGCCGACCTAGATCTGTTCGAGAAGCACCTCCAGAACCTGTTCAATATACTGGATCGTCAAGTTGACTCTCAAGGTTGGACCCAGAGCGGTGATATCCAGCACTTCGTTGAGCTATTCACGATCGATACGGCTACAGAATTTTTGTTTGGCGAAAGCGTGAACAGTCTAGAGGGGAAAACCGAGCCAAACTCTCTGGCTACGAAGGGAGAGATGAAGATATTCGTGGACTCTTTCGTTGCAGCCGAGAAGGTCACCGCAGAGTCTTTGCTATACAGCGATCTATATTGGGTCATACATGACCGCAAATTCAAGGACCAATGTGCTGCTGTTCATAAGTTCGTCGATACCTATGTCCAACGCCGTTTGAAGAGTCCCAACTCCGAGAGGAAAGGAAAATTTGTCGTCCTCGACGCCCTTGTCGACGATACCAAAGATCCATTTGAGCTTCGTTATGAACTTCTCAATATCCTTTTAGCAGGCAGCGATACCATCAAAGCAAGTATTACATTCCTCCTTGGCTCATTGGCACAAAATCCCGCAGTGTTCGAGAAGTTGCGAGCCCGCATTCTCAAGGACTTTGGCACGTACATCCAGCCGATTAATATTACAATTTCTGGTTTGAAGGCATGTACTTATCTGCAATGGTGCCTGAACGAAACACTCCGCATGTATGCTCCGGTTCCCAGCAACTACCGTGAGGCGGTCAGAGATACCACGCTACCTTTTGGCGGAGGACCGGACGGCCAATCGCCGGTGTTCATTCCGAAGGGGAGATTGGTGAATTGGTCGGTTCGTCGCCTCTTTTTGCATGTTTCTTTGTCCCAACGCTAACTATCTCTCTCCATCAGCTCTGGACTATGCACAGCAATCCAGAAGTGTGGGGACCTGACGCTCAGCACTTCATCCCCGAACGCTGGGAGATGGTGAGGCCAGGCTTCAACTATCTGCCATTCAATGCTGGGCCTAGGATTTGCATCGGACAGCAGTTTGCACTCGCGGAGACGGCTTACGTTGTGGTCAGACTTCTGCAGAAGTTTGATGCAATCGACGGGTCCGCAGTGCCTAAAGGGCGTCTGCCTTGTGAGTGGAAGCTGGTTGACAGGGTAGCAGGGGGATTGAAAGTGCGTTTCCACAGCAGGGAATTGGAGACGAGGTGAGTTGAATCTGACATGGCTTGTGGAGCACGAAATGACCTTGGCTATATATCTGTGTTGAAATTCTTGTAGTCTTGGATTAAAAAGTTACACACAGTGACTACAGAGAAGGGAGCAAATATTAGTTAGTAGTAGGCGAAGTGAAAAATTTCTTCAACGAAGTCTGCTCACAATTTCACGCAAACCATTCATCCGACGGTCTCCAGCGGGCAGGTTTATTTTGGGGATGTGAATTATTATAGATCGGGAAATATAAATTTCCATACGGGGGAGGGGGGATAAAGGGTTAATCTTTGACTAGTTAGAGATATTATTAATACATAAAACTTGTAGTAGAATACAAGTTTTGCACAGAATTTTACTTTTAACTACGAATATATATTTTCAATCGAGAACTCTTGTAGCAGAGAGGCGATATTCAATATATACGACAAAATTCGTACCCATATTCTACTAGACTAGACTCCTAGAGGGATCTAAAATCGACTTCGTAGGAGTCTTTAAAAGTCTGGTAAGGGAGTTAGAACGGATACTATAATGATATCCTGGTAGGTAAGAGAAAGTGGCTGTATTCCAGGCATTAAGATTTATATTTGGAAAATATAGAAACTGTAGCCGATTCTCTAGGGAGCCTAAAGGAGACCCCCCCCCTGAGCATAATCCAGCTAACTCATCAGCGTGCTTAGGGCCCAGGACTCGGCTCAGGTTAGAGCGGCGACTACTCCGGTACAAAGAGAGAAATAGACTCTAGAGAGGTCCAGATTCGGCAGTAATTATATTAGTAGTTTCGGGCAATATCTTTTCCTTTTCGCTTCTAGCGCGGATAGTCAGCGGCGCCGCTCTCCGGTCAATAGGGGTTAAGATTAATCAACGGAATGGAGATATTTGGGAATAGCTTCATTTCAGATTTGGAGAAAAGCGAAAGCTGAAATTCGTCTACTTCAAAGTAAGGATACATGGATACATGGATCGAGAACCGATATCAAGAATAGGCAAGGCGTCGCAAAGGCGGATAAAAAGGGGTTTACTAATCCGACTTGGAAAAAGACACCCCTCGGAGTATGGAGACCCAAACCTCCAGTATCTGAGGAGTTTCTTTCCGTGTCGATACACATATATGCACAGTCGCTCTGCTCATAAGAGCATATCCCTCGATAACTTTGTAGTTCTCGCAATGCTGCCTCGCGATTGCTGTGGACGTCAATGACTTCACCGTTGACAGAATATTGATCTCCATTTTGGTGCGCGTACACAGTACTTGGTTTCTCCTTGGCTGAGAATATTCGAATGGTAAATAAATATCTTGAGATCGCATGTTGAGGTAAGAGTCAGAAGCCAACCACAGCCGCAGCCTGATGACTGATGACTGATATTGATATTTTTAAGCAGCATTTGTGTGGTGTCGACGCAAGAAGTCAGATACGGGCAATTGGATCTTTAAAAATGTTTTCTGACAAAGCAAAAACAGTAATGTTTTCAATGCACTTACACTTGTCTTTCCTTATATTGATACTTTTGTCATAGCAACGACCCACTTCCACGACTCTCTCGCGCTCTCTACCTTTAATCCCCTCTTAATGTTATTTCTTCACCCCCTTCACCCCTCCCGCGACTTTCCCTTCATTTGCAGCCCCACCTATCCCATTGAGGCTCGAAACAGTCGTGGTCTCCGTCACCGTCACCGTCTTGCGGAACTTCTCCACCTCGATTTTAGTAATCGTCTTGGTGGTGGAGAATCTGCAGTAGATCGAGGTGTGTGTCCTTGTCGTTTCAATGATCCTGAGTTTTGTTTTTGTAGCTACACAAGTGGAGGCGGAGAAGAGGGTGGTTGGGACGAGCGTTGTTGTGATGGTGATATGCGAACCTGGGAGAGTGGGGGTGACTGTAAGATTCGATGTGAGGAAGGCTGTAGAGACGGGAAGGGTGTAAGCAGCTGATTGGAGTTCAGTCGCCGTCACTGTTGTGTAGACCAGGGATGGAACATTAGTTGGGCATGTGAGTGGGCAGGTCGACGACTGGCAAGAAGACGTCGATGAGGCGAGAGAGGAATTGGTGATGGGAAAGCTCGATACCGAGGGAAATGAACTGGATTGTGCCAAGCTGCTGATAAGAGTACTCGAGGAATTGGTGGATAGAGAGTTTGTTCCAGAGGGGAACGAGCTAGAGATCGTTGAGCTGCTGATAAGAATACTCGAGGAATTGCCGGCGAGAGTACTTGATGCGGTCAAAGCACTGCTTTGACTTGAGACAAAAGCAAGAGATGACGATGCCGCCAAAGTTGCTGAAGAGCTTGGGAGACCGAAAATTGATGTCGAGAGCGAAGTGCTACTTGTAACGGGAACTGACGAGATTATGGCGGACGAAGAGGTGCCTGCCTCTGTTGTGCTAGGAAGACCGGAATTCTTTGTGCGGAGAGAAAATCTACTTGAAAGAGGAGCAAACGGAATTGTAGATGACGGTGCTGCTTCTGTTGCAGAGCTGGTGGCCTCGGTAATTGGAATGCTGCTTTGAACGGCAACAGACGGAAGTGCGGAGGATGGTGATGACTCTACCAGAGAGCTGGAGAACCCGGCAATAGAAACGCTACTTGTAATGGGAGATGATCGCAGAGTCGATGGTGGTGCCGGCTCCGGCAAGGAGCTTGAGACAGCCGCAATTGAATTACTGCTTTGAGCAGAGACGGATGGAAGCCCGGATGACGGCGCCGCTGTAGCTACTGAGGAGCCGGGGAGACCCGGGTCAGATACCAGTGGAGAACTGCCGCTTTGAACCACAATCAACGAGACTGTGGGAGATGGCTCTGGCTCTGTTGAAATGCTGGAAGCCGCAGGAATGACTTTAACAGAGGTTGATGCTGCAGGAAGCTCAGAGCTGGAGCTTGCTATTGCAGACAAGGCACTGCTTGGAGCGGGCATCACTGACTGGAGTAGAACAGAAGATGGTTGTGCTCCTACAGGAGACGCACTGCTTGAAGCGGTTACATCTGACTGCGGCCGTGATGACGATGGTGCTAGACGTGATAAAGGAGGGAGCAGAGAGCTCGGCACTACAGCATCTACGATAGAGGTAGAGACAGCTGATATTGACGAAGGCAGCTCCGAGCCTGCCGAAGGGCCAAGGATAACCGAACTTTGAACAACGGCCGGACCGACTGAGGTAGATGGAGCTTCCTGAAGTGGGGATGTCGATGAAGATGCAGCTGCCACGAAACTTGGAAAAATGGGGATAACGGATGGACTAGAAGCGCTGCTTGCTATTGGAGGTGGGAGTAGAGACGGTGACGGAATTGCTGAGGGGTCGGCAAGTACGGAACTGGGAATACTGGGAAAAGATGAAGGGTTGGCCGCACTGGTGATTATACTCAGAGGCGGCAGTAGAGACAGCGATGGAACTGTTGAAGGTGGAACATCGGAAGAGCCAGCAAGCCCGGAACTTGATACCAATGGTTTGATGATTGTTGAAGTCATAGGTGGAGGCGATGGCGGAGCATTAGTCTCTGTGGAGGGCGTAAAGCTGTCGACAGGTTCCGAAGCAGTAATGGTAGAAAAAGGTATAGGGTCAGGAATCGTGGATACCAAACTTCTGAAAACGAACGATGGGGCCGCCGTTGAAACCACAATGCTGGGATCAAGGAAAGGCGACACAGATAGTACCGGGCCTGAAGCTACTGCTGAGCCGACAAGAAGGGTGCTCGCAATGCTCGACGTCGAGTTGAGTCTGGATGTCGACGCAGCTTCTGACGAGCTTGGAACATTTGAATCCAATCCGCCGAAACTAGAGGTCCCATCTACAAAGCAGACTACCTGACCAAGCAGGCAGAACAAGAATGGAAAATTCATGATATCGCGAGTAAGCGAGTGTGATGGACAAAACGTCAGAAATATATGTAGGCAAATTCGAGAAAATGGCAACACTGTTGCGGAGAAAGTTATTGAGAGAAGGAGAGTCGAGGTTTGGAAAGGTTTATAGAGAGGTTGACATGAAGGAATGGGGGCGACATTCTTGCCAGATGAACGTTGAGACACACTGATTGTCAGGCAATGACGCAACTTGCAAGTCAGGAATCCAGCTGTCCACCGCCAAGCTGGTGTTGTGGAATGCGGAGGACGTGTACTCAGTATCGTGTTCACTTCTAGTTCCCAATGAAGAAACGTAAACAAAGGCGTTGTTATTGGTACCCAACAATCTTGTACTCACGTGGCAATTCTAGCCTATTTAGTCCACCCATTTGTCATCCAAACCTTCCAGAAACTCGAGATCAACATTCACGAAACTCTTCCAGAGATCCAACTCCAATCTCCAAGGTTTTGTCTGAATCGCAAACGTAGTAGCCGCAACCAACTTGAACAGTTCCCCCTCATCGGTCGCCATAACCAAATATTTATCTCTCCTCGCAATTACATTTTTGCCAAGGAATTTCTTGTAGGGAGTGATACGAGCTTGGGCGCTGAGATGAATGCTCCATTCTGACCGGGGCAAGTCTTTTGGAACGAACATCCAATTGAAATATCTCCCAATGAGATCCCGAAAGGAGGTCGGGTCACGATTGTCCCATCCAATCATCAAGGGGTAGAAATGAGGCGCGCTCCATAGAGTGAGGACTGCAAAGCGGGCAGTAGGATTTTTGAGAGCGAAGTTCTTGGCTGTGGCCTTGAAGGGGGCTATTGTGCGAGGATTCACCATTGCAGGGTCCCAATTCATATTGTTCATGTTTCTCCTCCAATCGAAGAAAACATCCCACTTGTCGCGGCCTGGCTCTTTCCCTGCGATTGCTTCGCCTTGGACCCGAAGATCTGATCTGCTGCGGAGGACACCACATTTGTACACTGGTTACTGTTAGGTGCTGACCTTTGACTATGGACTTGGAAACTTACGATGGGCGATTATTGGCCGAATATGGAGGTCCCACTCGGCAGGTAGTTCATTCAATTCGCCATGCACCTTACGCATCTCATCCTCAAATTCTTTCCAGAAACTAGGGGCGCGATATTTATTAGAGACATGCGACCGAATATCCGGGAAGTTCTTCGCGCGTTCTGCTTGATTGAACATCAATGAATTTCTGAAAGGTTCCCCATCCTCGGACTCAAGAAATTGGGGATAGAAGAACGGTGCGATTTTAGCAATAGCTTTGTGAACACCCTTGGCGTATTCGGGTTCAACGTTGAGATCGTCGACCAGATAGAGCCCCAGAATAACTGGAGCACAGTCAAATGTGTTGCGGCAGTGCTTCCGGCACTTCCTGGTCATATCCATCATCTCTGTATAGTGTGCCTGCGCATTCGGCTCCAGATCGGCGCTGTGCCAAACCTGCTTGAACACTGAGGTACAATCAGCATTTCGAATTAATCTGAAGAAAGGCAACTTACCCTTTGCTTTCTCCTTGTCAAGAAACTCCATAAACTCAGCTTGCATAGCGGCAGGACTCGATCGGTCTCTTGGTACTCGCTTCGGCTTGAGCAGCATCTTTTTCATGACCTCCCGCATTTCGTCAGAGTGTCCCATAGCTCGAGCAACCTCGACCATGTCTATCTTGGGCTTTTGCTCCACCTCAGTCGCGTTTATCGCACCCGCCGTTTCTTGCTCGGCATCAACAGCATCTTCCTCATCGCCCTCGTCATCCAAATCTGAGTCATCCTCGTCCTCATGTTCAGCGTCAGAGTCGGTCATCCACGCTTCACTTTCGGTATCAGAATCGGACTCGAAGCAATCACCCTCAACAAAGCCCTTCAGCGAAAAGCCCTCCTCCCACATTCCAATGGGATCAACATTTCCAACATCAAGCGGGTCCAATTTCTTGTCCGCCAGTTCCTCGGGGAACAGAATTGCATCCTCAAGTTCGTCCGCTTTAGTATAGAACAAATTTTTTGGGAACTTGTTAGGCTCATCGAAGACTCTCCGAAGAGAAAGATTGCCTTCGCTTTGGTCGGCATGATTCTCGTCTTTGCTGTAAAAGAATGTTGTACCTGGGTGGTTGACATCGTCCCAGATGCTCATAATAACTTCCCCAGGTTGGATGTCGCGGGCTCGATTAGTCTCAGAGTCTCTACAGATGGTTTTCAGGACAGGTCCCGCGGGATTGTAGATATCTGGGCCTGAGCGAAAACGGTGTGCTTTGAATAACATCTGTTGGATCGTTAGAAAAGGATCAGACATGAAGGTACAAATGCAACTTACCTGTTGAACAGTATTGTACAGAACGGCAAAAGGTTCTCCCGGTTCCAGATCCCAGACATAAACGTCATAGTATTCCTTGAACGAAAACTTCCATTGTCGGTACTGATCCATCTCCTCGAAGAATGTGGGTCCAATGCTCTTGATGATATGCCAACCTCCATTTCTCGAAGCTCTTCCAATGCCACTCTTCTCGCGGTAGAGCCAACGTTCTTCTTCCTCAGGTTTGATGAGAAGTTTTCCAGTCTCTGCATCTCGAACAAGAACTAGCAGTGTGTGGCTCTGCATCGAGAGATATTGGACAAGACGGCGACTAACTGGATCGTCTCGCTTGATGTGGGCGCAGATGAAGTTTCGTGCTTCGAAAACAGCATGAGAACGGCGACCTCCACCGCGGTTTCTGTTGTTCTCTCGAATAGTCAAGTCGTGAGCGTCTGGTGAAGCACTTTCGAAGTACATGATGAAGCCCTAAATCCTGGTAAGAAAGGGAGATAGAAGTTGACGGGGGAAAGTGATATATACCAACTGCAACATCTGCTGCCGATATCTGTTGCCGACCCATTCAGCCCAATTAGCACCTGGGAAATACTGCCAAATGGCCAAAATATTTAACTCGAAAAACTCGTCCCAATGGCGACAAAGGGCAACTGCATCGTGGAGACTGCTATCCTTGGCAATTATGCAAAAGTGTAACCAGCCACCACGATTCATCGCCTTGTTGCTGGGATAATTCCAGATAGATTTGCCACAAATCTTGACTCGGATCTTCTTCCCCGGGACCTTGGAATCCTTGTTCTCGCCAAAGTTCACTGCCCCACCTTCTTCATTCTCCATAATAGAGTCGAACGTGGGCAATTGCCCCATCTGCTCTGCCATCTTTGCCATCTCGCTTTTAGGTTTCCACGTGTCAGGTAGCTCGCCCTTTTGCTTCTTCAACTTGAACATAGGCATGCCATGTTCGTCTGTATCCTTGGATGTTGGACTAGCTGGTTTGGCCATCTCGATGTCTGCTTCTTCCTCTTCTTCCTCGGAACGGAAGAAGTCTGCACAAGCATCACGGATGTCCTGAAGACTCGGATTCTCCATCTTCAAGCAGATGTCTCGGAGAGCGGCGGTGGTGACTTCGGGGTCCGCTAGGAATTCTTCCACGTTGTTTGCACGAAGGGCTGCTGGAAGTAGTGCCGCATGTCCTAAGAGGAGTCGACAAAAGAGCAGATGCTTGATGTCATGTATCTCTGCGAGCATCTTCTGGATCAGATTCTCGGGAAACGTCACCGTTTTCGTAGAGATGACCGGATTTTCCAATGTCCCAGCGATCATAACGCCTTTGACCTTCGCCTGGTTATATTCGGTGCCGTTCTTCAACCTCTCATGCATTTCTTCTCGGGATTCGATCAGGCCTTTGTCTGGCTCTGGCTTTGGTTCGGGGGCCTTGGCGGCCGGAGTAGCCTTCTTTTTGTTCTTTGATTTTGCTTTCTTGGATGATGGGGAAGCCTTGGCCCCTTGTGGGATCTCGGCGTTCAATTTCGGAGCCGATTCAGGAGTTTCGGTGAGAACGGACGGGCCAGGGGTCGAAGGGGTAGGTGCATTGATACCTACCATGGCAGTATCTGCTTCAGCCGCAGCGTTCGGGTCCACCATCCAAAGGAAAGTCTGGACGAGGTCAAGGTAACTCCCCCTATTGTCCTCCAAGACATCCTCAATAGGATCCCAATCCATCTCATCATCATCGGTATCTTCTCCCTCACCATTCCTCTCCTTCAAGGCCAAACTCTCTTTATACGCTTGTTCCAGGTAAGCGTCCTGCCTCATTTTATCCTCCTTCGCCTTCGCGTCTCGAGCTCTCAACTGCGCCGCCTTCCAATGCCTCTTAAACATAGCAGCCTCCATCCTGACCTTCTCCCGCTCTTTCTCTCTGCCCCTCTCCTCCTCATCCTGGCACTCCCTCACCCAACCATACCACTTCTCCTCCCTAAACAGCACTTCTGCCGTCCTGCGTTCCAACCTCTCCAATGCCCTAACCACCGTCCCTTTCTGGCTCTGCAAATCCTCTAAGAACTTCGCATGCCCATAATCACAATCTTCCGCAAAGAATCTCGAGTGATGCAATTTCCTCGCTCGGATGACACGCTCGAGAAGCTGGAGAATGAGGAAGAGATGATCGTGCACTTCTTTGCAATCTGATTGCGTGGTGATGAGCGAGAAGTCCTGGTGTGAGAGGGGGACGGTAGCGGATGCTAGGAAGGTGGGACGGTTTGCTGAGAGCCTGTCGAGGCGGGCGTTGCGGAGCTTATATCCTCGGTACAAACCTGTTCGGTGTCAATGACTACCGATGAAACATTTCGAGAGGGGGGGAATAGGAAATGGAGAAGTTACCTTGGCATTGCTTGGAGTGAAACGAGCAAAAGAGGCCATTTACAGAGGTAGCAGCTTCAAGACAGCGCTTTTCGTCCGAGACATTCAGTGCCTTGCACTGGCCTGGATTATCCATATTCCCCCACAGAGTTTCGAATGCAGAACCATGGAAATGGGACAAGAAACGCAATTACCCACAACTCGGGAGGTTGTTCTGGGGGTCTGGGGTGGATAAACAGAAATGTGTGAGGTGGAGGGGGAGGGGGGGAGGAGGGGCTTCAGGAGCGGTGAGAGGGATGTGATTCGGATCCTGGGAGACGCGTTGAGTGGAGCGAGGTGCCTTCGTTAGTGCTCTTACCCCTGAATGTGGCGTTCTTTTCCTCGAGGGGGTTTAGTGTGGACGTCACGCGTTCATGAACTTCAGACAAGACCAGCCGGAGTTGACGTCACTCCTAAAATGCAGTGGCTTTTCAGTCGGGCACAGCGAGATGTCTCCTCGTTTTTCTATGTGTTTACTAAACTAAGAAAATCAAAAATTCCTTACCAAATTTCGCGACGAAAAATGCTTAACATAAAATCGGCTCCTTTATTACTAGACAACTCATATTAGGTTACTTTTTAAACCCCCACCAAAAATCGCCATTTTGCCTTTCCCCGCACTGCACCACAACGCCTATGACATATAACTTTCTCTACGAATTATAGCCTTTGATATTTAATATATAATCTAACTTTCATACGATTCTATTTAAGCTAGGAATTAAATATATATCGTTTAATTAACTCGTGATTGCGATGGTCCAATTTTCGCCAAGAAAATAAGCGAATTCGGGTGGAGGGGGCATTTCCTAAGAATTACCCCTATATAACTTTACGACAACGTAATCATAGAATTACTAGAATTGGCAGAGTTAAGGGGAATGATCCAATGAATGATTGGATCGGGAGGATTTTACTGAAAAACCCTCGTATTGTGGACAGTTTGGAAAGTGTCAGGACCGAGTTTTGGTGTAAAACCTCGCTTGACCTAATATTAGTTGACAGTGACTGTACTTATTATAAGTCCTAATCTTAATAATATAGATTACTCTTAAGCGCGTGGAGGTATGTGACTTAAAATCGTGAAAAAATCCCGGCTTTTTAGCCATTTTTGGTAGGGGACGTTTCGCTTTCCTCGACTAAAAGCCACTGCATTTTAGGAGCCACGATAAGGCCAACTATTAGATGGTGCGAAGGGCAGTATGCCTCCAAATGGATACCCATTACGTATATATCTGCTTTGCTATGTTGCAGACTTTCCTGTTCCCTTTTCATATGCCCAGAAAACGCCGCGGGTATCGAGTCCGTACCATCAATCCCTTGCATATGAACGCTAAAAGTAGCACACACTCCCATCTTCATGAATCCTCCTCAAGGCCACGGAACAGTTCGTGATAGAACGCGCATGTTATCGATTAAGCCTCCTACCAAGGCCAAATATTCGTGCGGCTCATTAGATGCAGCTCGCCTGCCCTGTTCCATGACGGCTGCTGTTTTGAGTTCGATTTCGAGTTCATGCTCTTTGTCAACGCGATTTACGCCCTAGTAACTGTTAGTATTTCAGATAGGAGAATCTCTGGAGGCGAAAGCTTACATTGACCGATGTCACTTGTGTAACTTGAGTCAAGTCAATTTGGTAATGGCTCTGTGTGTAGCTCAACCGGTCTTTGCTTCGGTCGGGAATACGCTCGCCAATACCTGCAGCAATTATTTCCTCAATATCACCGTCATACTTCATTTCAAAATTGATACTGATCCTACAGTCAAGTGGCCATTGCGGGTTATGGATATCAAGATCAACAATTCGGGCTTTGATGATCTTTGCTAGGATTTGGTTCGTCTTTTTGTCGTGGGTGACCCGGACTTTGACAGTGTGACGAGGATTGAGCTGTTTACGGACAGCAGCTGGTAGATTGGCGTGCATTGCGGCTGGGAGCTCGTAAAATTTGTCGATTTCGCGACGGTGAAGATAATCGATCTTGACTCTGCTCTTCGCGCCAGGATTTGCTGGGTGCGTTTCAGCAACCTTGTCATTCAGGAAATCGTTCAAGGATCGATGTTGCGACTGTCCAATCGTGAGCAATGTGTGAAGTATATTTTGTGAATTTCAGAAATCAACGTACCTCTGTCATAGAACTCCTAAATCCCACTCGAGCACTGTCTGCGAGAATGCACTCTGACGTGACAGGCAATTCATACCTCTCATTGGTCTCCTTGTTGATGAGCTGGCCTAACTTGGCCTCGATCTCAATCTCCACTCCTCGGCTTGCAAGCTCCCCCAGATCACCGCGATTGAGCACGTTCATGTAGATGAAGTCTGCCACAAGTTTTGTCATCTCTTGACTGACCTTGTGGCCGGTGATACTCCATTCCCACGGACCCAACAACGATGGATTAGGTTCGTCTGACACGTCTGAAGTTGATTGACGTGTGGCTGCAGGTGTCACCTGCCGATTTCCATCGGTCTCAGCTTTCACCAAGGGTGAAGAAACCACCTGAGATTGGTAAACAGTAGCTGGTTGTTTCCCGTTCATCTTTGAAACAAAAACACCTCTCTTCCGTACACTCTGCGCCCATATCGGAGGCTCTGTGTAACGAATTCGCTTTTTGGGTGGCTGCAGTGGAGAGCTCGAAGGGATACGATGATCACCATTGACTTGAGGTTTCACATCGTACTGTTCTATACGCCGAGGTTCTTCGACGGGTATCTCTCGATCCTCCATCTTTCGCTTCGTAGAGTTGATGGAGCCGCTCTCAGATTGTGGAGTGGTGATTTCACCACGAGGTTGGCTCGGGAGCCGAGTTTTCGGGCTCACGCTAAGACTTTGTTCCCTCTCACTCTGTGACCTTCTTTGTTGTTCGCTTGTCGATGAGCGATGTGAATCATAACCACCGGGTGTGCTTGGTAATCGTGGAATCGTTGCGGGTGGTGGAGGTGCAGGAGATATTGGTTGGACCGAGAAAGATCCTGAAGGTAAGGTATTTTGTCGCTGCTGGTAAGGGCTCTGAGGTTGGGGAAAGGTTCCTGAGGATTGCCGCTGTGTCAAAGGAGGGCCAAGTGGTGTCCCAGGTTGAGATTGCTGAGATTGTTGGCGCTGGTGCTGCGGATTCTGAGATGGTGGGAAATGGCCTGTGGAGACTGGACTGTCTTGTGGGTATTGGTTGAAGTACTGCTGCTGGCTATGAGCGGATGTAGGAGTGGAGTTCGAGAGTGAAGATTGTGATCTTTGGTGTTGGAGGTACGGATGGGCTGCACCAGGAATGCCAATTGGAGGAGTTTGTGGGGCAGGAGACGCGTGACTATAGGAGTTCTGGTGTTGCGGATGCGGTGGAGGACCTTGTTGCGAAGAGTAGCTGTCCCTTTGTTGGAGAGAGGGTGGGTATTGGTGGTGTTGGGCGGGACTTTGGGGTGTTTGATGAGCTGGTGGGAAAGGATATTGACCAGGTGCTGACGATGGAGTGTGCGCGTACGGCGACTGCGCAGCGTACGGCCTGGCAGGAGAACGCAAATCATTTTGAGGTGGTGCTTGGATGGGCGGTGGAGGAGGTCGTCCTGAATAGTTTCCTTGGTACGCAATTGGTGAAGTGTAAGGCCCACCCTGCTGTACGCCATAGTCCTGCGAAGGGTGTTTGCCCGGCGAGGCTTGCGGAGGATGGCTATAGTCCCTAAAGCTTTGCTGCGGATGTGCCTGTACTGGAGTGACTGGCGCAGCTTGCTTTTGGACAGAACTCTCTCCAGCTTCGGTGTTGATGATTGAACGGAGATCCATATTTGCGATTCGGTCTCTGGCTCTAGATCAAGCGCGCCCTGCCCCAGGCTACGAATAACTCGATATTCGCTTCGAAGGGTCGTTCATCTGATAGCTCTTGCGCCAATTTTCTGCCAGCTCAACTCAGCTTGACGGATGGGATGTATCGATGCTGGCGCAAACGGTGGTGAACAAAGGATCCCAGGCAACGCTTCGACCGCGACGAGGAACTGGCGGGGAGGAGTTCGCAGACGTCTATACGACTGCAGCAGCAATTCGGAGGGCCTACAGATAGATAGACATGGTGCTTGTCGTGGTTGGGCAGTTGCTGGTGGAGATGGTCTTGGTTTGACAGATGTCCATACATTTTCTTGAAAATCCCCTTAGCTACCGAAGCTCCACCTCCTGAAAGATAGCGTTTGATTTCCTGCAGCCTCAGAACCGCGCGGGATGAGAGAATGATAAGGTGCCAGCTATTATGCTAGATCAGGTGTTACTGAGTTGAATAAGAGTTCACGTATTCCTATAGAAAAAGTCATTCTTTTCCGATTTGCTGATCGCCTTCTCGTGCAACTGAAAATTGATGGGTTGACGCGAGGAAGATTGGCAGCCTCACGATTCAGGACGCAACGAGGGTGGCTGACAAATAGAGTTTAGCGCGGCCGCGACACAAGCTTTGTGTCTCGCGACGTACCAAAGCTGTGCCTGGCGAGTTCCATCAGCAGTGATCAACAATAATTCATCCCATCAACATTTACGCCTTCTCACCTTCAACACATCTCGAATCGACCAGCCATATCAGCTCGAGAGCCCTCTTATATCTGCGGATACAATATCGACTATGCCCGGCTTGACCTCTGCATCCGGAGTGCTGGGCTTCCTCTCCGACGAGGAGCCCGAGCTCAAGGTCTTTGCCTTGCAAACCTTGAACGATGATATCGACACTCTCTGGACGGAGGTGGCGGGTTCTATAGGTCAAATGTAGGTGCTTCCAATGGTCCAATCTTTCTTGGGTACATTCTAGCTATTCCGAGCCTTGTGTTGACTTGCCCCTTCAGTGAGGCACTCTACGAAGATGAGTCCTTCCCCGAACGACAACTGGCATCTCTGGTCCTGGCAAAGGTCTACTATCACCTGTCTGCATACAATGAGAGTATGACGTTTGCTCTTGGTGCTGGTGATCTTTTCAAGCTCGACAACGAAGGCGAATTCGAAGAAACCATCATCTCGAGATGCGTCGACACTTACATCAGTGTATCAGCTGCCCGTCACATCGCGCCGAAGGAGACTGCAAAGCCCGGATCGCTGCCTACTCTCGAGACCTCCTTTGCGAACGGCTCGGAGGATGCCAGCGCGGCCGCAGCCCTCTCACCAACGACACCCTTCTCTCAATCAACCCTACCTTCGAAGTCTCTCCTTTCACGACCATCCATCGAAAATGTGGCAGAAGTATCAGGCCCGGAAGGAAAATCAACGGCGACCGTAATTCCAGACGATGCTACACAAGCCGCGTTACAAAGAGTCATCGAGAGATTGTTCGAGAGTTGTTTGCAGGAAGGCAGATACAGACAAGTTGTTGGGATTGCTGTGGAGGCACAGAATCTCGAGGTTCTGCGTAGAGTGATCAAGCGTGCAAGCGACGATGAGAAGAAGTCAAGAGGGAAGCAGGTTGAGGCTGAAGGAACACCCGGACCCACTGAAGAGCTGATGGAGTACGTGCTTGATATTTGCATGGGCGTTGTGCAAGAGAGAAGCCTACGAACAGAGATCTTAAGGTTGATTCTCGATCTGCTGAACGAAATCCCAACGCCGGATTACTTTTCTATCGCCAAGTGCGTTGTGTATCTGAATCAGGATGAAGAGGCTTCGACAATGCTGAAGAAGTTGGTGGTATGAACTGGATTTCCTGAAAACCCAGATTCTCGGCTGATGATTCATAGGCAAACGGTGACCAAACTTCCACGGCAATTGCATACCAAATAGCATTCGATTTGTATGACAATGGCACTCAGGAATTCCTTGCCAAGGTTATTAAATCACTGCCAGTGAAGGTTGCGGAGGCTCTAGCAGACGAAGAAAATCGTAAGTTTAAACGTTCTACGTCGTTTACTGAAAGCTAATTCTTCCGCTAGCCACCGAAAATGACCAGCTCCTTGGTGAGCTGAACGAACGTGCTGGCGCCCCTGCTCCAGAACAAGAGAAGCTTTCTGATAAGGAGTACGAAATGTTCGACCGAATACGCCAGATTCTTGACGGCAGTGAGACGATCAAGTTAAACCTTGAATTCCTCTACCGAAACAACCACACCGATCTGAGCATTCTCAACAAGGTTCGGGACAGTCTTGAAGGGCGAAATTCGATATTTCACACGGCAGTCACCTTTTGCAATGCGTTTATGAATCAGGGAACAACGAATGATAAGTTCTTCCGTGATAATTTGGAATGGCTTGGGAAGGCTGTGAATTGGTCCAAGTTTTCTGCAACTGCTGCTCTTGGTGTCATCCACCGTGGAAACTTGTCACAATGTCGCAAGTTACTCGAACCTTACCTTCCTCGTAGGACTTCGTTGGGTGGCTCCATTTTCAGCCAAGGCGGAGCTCTGTATGCCTATGGGTTGATCTATGCCAACCACGGTGCTGAAGCCCTCGATTATCTGAAAGACCAATTCAAAGAGGCTCAGGAAGAAGTCATTCAGCATGGTGGTGCACTGGGCCTTGGTATCGCAGGGATGGCAACTGGGTCTGAGGAGATTTATGACAGCCTCAAGGGCGTCCTTTACACGGACTCCGCGCTCAACGGTGAAGCTGTTGGACTCGCGATGGGTCTCATTATGTTGGGCACTGGCAACGTCAAGGCGTTGGAGGATATGATCACTTATGCTCACGAAACCCAGCACGAGAAGATTGTCCGAGGCCTTGCTATCGGCATGGCATTGATCATGTATGGCCGTCAAGAAGGTGCCGATGTACTCATCAAAGGTCTGCTGAACGATCCGGACCCAACTCTTCGATATGGAGGTATCATGACCGTTGCTCTGGCATATTGTGGTACTGGTAGCAACAAGGCTGTCCGACAGCTTCTTCACGTGGCTGTCAGCGACGTCAATGACGATGTCCGAAGAATTGCAGTCATGAGTCTGGGATTCATCCTTTTCCGAAAGCCTGGAAGCGTACCTCGTATGGTTGAGCTCCTGTCGGAGTCCTACAACCCACATGTACGATACGGCGCGGCTATGGCTTTGGGTATTTCTTGCGCAGGCACTGGTTTGGATGAAGCCATCGATCTTTTGGAGCCCATGATTAAGGATCCTACCGACTTTGTCCGACAAGGTGCACTTATTTCTCTTGCTATGATCATGGTCCAACAGAACGAGGTGATGAATCCGAAGGTCGCATCAATCCGAAAGACGCTCAAGAAGATTGTCGGAGATCGCCATGAGGATGCGATGACCAAGTTCGGTTGTGCTTTGGCGCTGGGTATTATCGATGCCGGTGGGCGAAACTGCACTATCGGACTTCAGACTCAAACTGGCAACCTCAACATGGCTGGTATCGTCGGAATGGCCGTCTTCACTCAATACTGGTATTGGTTCCCTTTCACCCACTTCTTGTCCTTGAGTTTCACGCCTACATCGATGATCGGGCTCGACCATGATCTCGAGATTCCAAGCTTCAAGTTCCACAGTGCTACTCGGCCCAGTCTTTTCGATTATCCTCCAGAGCAGGAGGTGAAAACTGATGAAGCTCCTACGCTTATTGCAACCGCTGTTCTCTCGACTACTGCTCAAGCCAAACGAAGAGCTCAGAAGAAGGAACGTGCCCAACGACGTGAGAGTATGGACATTGATCAGGCTCCAACGACACCAAAGATCACTGCGCCAGCAGCTGATAAGATGGATGTTGATGAGGAGAACAAGGACAAGGACGCTAAGTCTGACGAAAAGAAGGATGAGGCTGACAAGGAAAATGCTTCGCCTGCTGAAATCGCCAAGAAGAAGCTCGAGAAGGAGAAGGTTGGTTATGATATTGAGAACATGTCCCGAGTTGTGCCGGCTCAGCTCAAGTTCATCAGTTTCCCAGCTGGCCGTTATAAGCCAGTCAAGAAGCCAACCGGCGGCGTGATTCTGCTCGTTGACACCCAACCTGGGGAAGAAAAGATCTTGATTGAGGAGAAGCTGAAGAAGGCATCGATTGAAAAGGCGGCCGCACCCACAACTCTCGAAGATATGCGTAACGAGTCTTTCAACTTGCGTCGTCAAGCAGAAGGCGAGACGTCTGGAGCGGGAGCCGCGGCTGCCGCTGGTGTGTTGACGGCCGTTGACGAGGATGAGGAAAGTGGAGAGGAAGCGGAGTGCCCACGGGGCTTTGATTACTTCTCGGATGGCGAGGAGGAGTCTTAGAGGGCGTGTAATATTAGATGCTCTTCTTGTAATGCCGAGAAACGGCTTGCAGCATGGGGATTGGAGGTGAGGGCAGGCACGTGATGAGATGTGTTTAGATGTAAAACAAAAGAATGGCATTTGGGGTGTCTTGAGGTGGCCCTAGCACATTATTCCGGTTCCTGAATTTGATTTTTAAGAGGGTTACGTGTGATTGGGACACATCCTATTTGAATCGGGCATATCGGCTCCTGATTGGGAGTATCGCTGTCTGTTTCGCTGAGTGGAACCTCGCGCCGGGTTTTCCGGGGCCCTGCTAACGTTCATCTCTTTCTTTTCCTCCTTATATACCATCAAGGCCCCGTATCGGTGGATGAAGATCTCTGAAATTTCCCAGGTTCTTGAGTTTTTACACCGTGTCACGTGCAACCATTCATCACGTGTAATGGCTATTGCCTGGAGTGTGTCCTGGCTCCATACGACATAGCAGACTTCCTGCCTCACATGGACGCACCCAACCACTCGGCTTCTAATCCAGAGCTATCTGCACATCCTCGAGACAGCCTCGACATCAGACTATCAGCCCACCACCCAGCTTGTCGATTATGCACAAGGTGCGGCAAGTTATCTCTCTTCCATCAAGAGCTCAGCATGGAAGATCACTGGGACAAGCAACAAGCTTTGGTATGCTTACTTTGGTAGTATCGACAGAAGCAACCCAAAAGACTATCCATGATCCATCGAGACCCAGACCTTCTTATCTCAGAAACTGGCACGCGAGCTGCCTCTCATTCGGTTCATCTAACATTTCCCAAAAGCAAAAGGATGTAGAGATAGAAAGACTTCCAGTGAAGTCTTATCAAAGTTTTCTTTATCTTTGCGGCTGGATACTCGAAGCTGGAGATCTGGACGCCATAACTGCTTGTTTGAGACATGGCTCATATGTGCATGCTTGGGGTGGCCTCTCGGAGGAAGAGGCGCTCGGTTGGCCACCGTGGCGGGAGGTTGGGGGACCAAAGAGGCAGTTTCGTCCGTGGATACCTCCGCCGTACAGTACAGTTCAAAGCCATTCCCCAGCTTTCATTGCGGTCCGTCTACTTCATGCTTCTGACTGTTCTTTGCAGTAAGATGTGACATCTCATCACCTGATCCGAGTTGCAGTATCTCGTACCGTTGAGGGCAAAAAAGATGCAAGAATCCAGAATTCCTGCTGACGAAGGCAAAAACACAAGGTAAGATTCCATCGCCATCTGCTATTTCCTCTCTCGACGCAACACCCTTGATGTCAGCCCATCCCCGACGCCACGGCCATCCCGAAGCCTTCCACATCTCGCCCCTGCAAGCCCTGCAAGCCCTGCAAGCCCTGCACCAACGGCCACCAACTGGCCACGCTGCACCTCAAAACTTGCCAAGGCCTAGCTGTACTTTGGTACACCAATCTGCTTACTAAAGCAGAGGCTGACCAGACACCAGAGAGAACAAGCTCTGCGCGGAGCCTCTGGTTTAGTTACAGTGCCAGATTGCTTGGACATACACCGGCGACCGCGATTGTGTATCTCCCCCTGCCGCAGCCCCGCAGCCCCGCAGGCCCGCAGCAGTTATCCATCTCCAGCCCTATCTCGACCGCCAGCCAGCGAGCCTGCTATCATCATGCAGCATCAATTAGCAAACGCGCTGACTGGTTCCTGGTCCGTCTGCGGGAGGGTTTTGACTGCTGTTCAAGAACCTGGATGGCGGGACAAGGCATCTTAGTCTCCTCCTACTGTAGGATTTACAGTAGCACCGGGCCCGCCAGACGGTCTTGATAAGAGTGGCGCCGGTCATTGGATGTCAGACAGATCGACCGAGTGCTGGGGCACGTCGGTGTATCTTCGCCTCTTCTGGAACACTTTACTTTTTTGCACGGGAGATGGAGGATAGCGCAGGGCAGGGCAGGACAGGACAGGGTCGCATGCGACAACAAAGTTGCACGCAAGCTCTGGATTGATGACGCTCTTATCTCTTATCCGGTACGAGTACTCAGGCTCATATTATATATCTGCTCTCCCCCCCCAGCTTCTTTCTCCTTTCGCGGTCCGGATTTCCAAGAACTCTATTTTGAAAGGGAGCTCGGCCAGGAGGCACACCCACCATGCGGTACGTTCCCAACAAGAAGCAGGTCCGCGAGCGCCTGACCAGCGTGAAAGCATGGGAGCTGCCCAAGCAGAAATCGGCACTGGCGCCGCCACACGTGTGGACAAACGAAGATATGGATCCGGTGAAGATTGAGAATCAAACGTGGACGTTGTGGACGTGGATGGCGTATTGGGCCACGGATACTATTAATTTGGGGACGTGGGAGACGGCAAGCTCGATTTTAGCGGTGGGGCTGAGCTGGAGGGAGGCGATTCCCATCGTATGTTTGACCTGGTATGATTGGGAGTGATGGATTACGAGCTGATGAAATCAGATTGTAGTTGGCACGTCCAGTGTTGCTATTCCTATGGTGCTGAATGGCGCCATTGGCGCGAAGCTTCACATCCCTTTCTCGGTCGCCATTCGAGCGTCATTTGGATATTACTTCGCGTACTTCGCGATTGTGTAAGGTTTATGTCTGACAGCAGGTGAGGCGTTTGCTAACGGCAATGGTACAGCTCTCGGTCGATTCTTGCTATGTTTTGGTTGGGTATCCAGGGTGCCAATGGTGCACAATGTATCACGATCATGCTTACAGCAATCTGGCCGTCGTATGGGAGAATCCCCAACCACATCCCCACAAATCAAGGTATCACCACACAAGGAATGATCAGGTTAGTGTTTTCCCCAAGTTGGTTGAAATCATCTGACCAGATTTAGTTACTTCTTGTTCTGGATCATTCAATTACCCCTCCTTTTGATCCCACCTACCAGACTTAGGTATCTATTTGCGACCAAGTTGATCGCCGCACCCATCACCGCCCTGGCGACAATGGGGTGGTGTGTTCACAAGGCTGGTGGTTCAGGGAAAATCTTTTCGCTCCAGCCCACGGTCTCCGGAAGCACCAAAGCCTATCTCTGGCTCTCCTGCATGTCCTCAGTGACTGGCTCATGGTCAACACTGGCATGCAACATCCCCGATTTTTCTCGATATGCTAAGACCAGCCGAGGACAATACATCCAACTCCCCATCCTGCCCGCAGTCTTCACCGCCTGCGCAGTTATCGGTATCGTGACCACCTCAGCCACCGGAGTAATCTACAACGAGCTCCTCTGGAACCCCCTTGACATCATCAGCAAATGGCTCGAGATGGGCCATGGCGGGCGAGCTGCAGCCTTCTTCGCCGCAACCTCGTGGTACATCGCACAAGTCGGCACAAACATCACTGCAAACAGTATCTCCGCCGCCAACGACCTGACTGTCCTCTTCCCACGCTTCGTGAACATCAAGCGAGGGTGCGTGATCGCCGCTATCGTCGGAGGCTGGGTCATCGTCCCCTGGAAGATTCTCAGCTCCGCACAGACATTCCTCGCGTTCATGGGCGGCTATGCTGTCTTCCTTGCACCGATCGCGGGCATCCTAGCTGCTGATTACTGGCTCGTCAAGAAGCAGCATATCGATGTCCCAGGTCTGTATGATCCCGACGGACGGTATCACTACTGGAACGGGGTCAACTGGCGCGCACTCCTCGCTCTCATCGTTGCCGTCTCCCCGAACTTGCCCGGTCTCGGGTACAGCATTGCTCAGCCTGCTGATACCACTCAACCAAACCCGGTGCATATTTCAAATGGCGCAAAAAATTTGTATACATTCGATTGGCTGTTTGGGTTCGTGACGAGTATCTTTGTGTATACGGTGTTGAGCTACTTAGTGCCGCATAAGGAGAGTCTGGTGCAACATACGGTGTATGGGAATGAGATTTTGGATGAAGGCCTCCCGAGTGATGTTGAGAGTACGGGTGTTATGACCGGGGAGAAGGGGTATGGGGAAGCGGATGAGAAGAAGGTCATGGCTGAGTTGTAGTTTTTTGCGTTCGCCGGCCTACGGAATATAAGATAGATAGATGGTGGGCGGTACCTCGTCGAGTCGTCTGTATTGTAGCTGAATTTAAAGGGGGTGGGATTTGTTTGAGGAAATAGGTGATCCCAATTATCTTTTGAGATATGATAATGAGAACGATTCATGAATATACAAATTTCACGCAGCTTGCGTCAATGAGCATATATCTTCAAAATTCAAATCGACAGAACCTTGAAGGGAAAAGGGGTAAATCACGTGATGTGGTAGAGCTCGCTCACGTGCCATCAGCACTAACTCAACCTCCACTCCCTCGGTCGAATCTCCACGGGGAAAGAATTAACTCTTTTCATGCTATTGGCTGAGAGAGATCTTGGTGGCGCTGACAGGTTCCGTCATTCATGTAAGGCTCGTCTCAGCCTTCCTCCCCCCCGAATCTCATCAATCCTCAAGTCTGGAATTGGTCAAAACGTCCAATTCTTCATCCGTCACGGCCTGGCTCAAGACCGCCTTCCCGACTTTTGAAGCAATTAGATACTGGCATACTCGCCATGCCATCCTCCACTCCACTCTTAGCACCCAGGCCCGCCGGCTCCCATCCTCAGCCAGATCAACACAAAGTTTACAAATCACAGCCAGCACGTCTATTGAACTGGGATCGATTTATCGGTGGAAAATCGATATATTGGAGATTGACAATCTGTAGAATGACTAGTTTTGACTAGATACAGGAGAGTGATTCCATAAAAAACAGAGGGAATGGGTTCCCTAGCTATATTCCTGATTTCCAGCCCACCATGTGATTTACCCCGCACTTACTTGGTGGTGGGAACGATTTACCAATCTGATTCCTGAACGTACGTTTACGGAACGTAATCGAATGGCGATACTAATAAACGATTGGTGTGTTCGTACGTAAGTAATACCCAATAATCGGACGAACTGAATTAGTGATTGAACCTGGAGTGGAAGGAATGGATGCTAGCCAAGCTAGCTAGTTCAACAACGTCCCCCGAGAACAAGGAGAAAAACACCAAAAGTAAAGACAGGATGTCTTACCTGCCGGTTAGCCTCATTCTACACTCTTATTCCGTATCTTTCAAAGCTGAACAGGATAGATCCCGACGTGTCAAATGCGACGAAATCCACCCCGTGTGCAAGAATTGCCAAAAGCGTTACGTTTCCTGTACCTACCCAGTACCCATTGAGAAGCCCAAGCACGGCACTTCTCAGAAAGCCATCAAGCTGCATCCGTTGGTTCCTAAGGGGCGTCCTGCCGAGCCAACTCCTTCGTTGCAAGGGCATGAAATGCGTGCAGGACCGCGATTTGCGGATGCGATTGAAGCGAGGTATTTCGTCTACTATTGCGAAGGCATTTCAAGCCAGATCGGCGGTCCGTTCGGGAACAAGCTGTGGGACCAACTCATCCCGCAGGCGGGGAGCGAGGTGCCGTTCATCGGGCGTGCTGTCATTGCTCTCGGCGCTCTGTCGAAGGCTCAGTCCGAGCGACAGAAGGAGAATCCTCACCACGCATACGCACTCGCGCAATACGTGCGCGCCCTCCAGGGAATGCGGAGGTCGGTGAGAGGGCACCCGTCCGATGTGCGCACCGCGCTTATTGGGTGTTTGCTGGTCTTCTGCTTCGAGAGTCTGCAGGGCCACCAAGGCGCTGCTTCTGCACATGCATCGTCTGGCTCCAACCTCATAGCTTCTATGTGCCTGAATTGCCAGCCGAAATCCTGGAGGGAAAGTGAACTCGGAGCAGAGCTGTACTCCGCTTTTTCAGGCCTTAATATACAGTCGTTACTTTTTCTGGATAAGAGGGATAGGGGAACGCATGCGTTTTACAAAAAGGGGCTGAGTGAGGCGGCGAAGGGTATGCCAGAGGCGTTCGGGGATTTGGAGGAGTGCAGACGGTTCTGGCATTATATCATGCGTCGGAACCTGCATTTCTCGCTCGAGGTCCGGGATGCTCTTTCGCGCACCAGCCAAGCCAATTCTTCGTCCACCCATCTCGGAGCGGACGACAGCCACTGGATGGACCATACTTCGAGGACGGAAACGACATCTAGCTCCTCCTCCTCTTTGCTCGCGGAACGGGATTCATATGTGCAGGATATCTGCCGCTGGGAAATCGCCTCCGCGCCCCTACTATGTCGCCTCTTCTCCCCAGCCACGAGAAACGAGGAGGCGTTTCTGATAAGCTGTTTATTGAGGATCCATGCCGCGATGAATATCGTGCTGCTTACCAGGGCGTTCAGTCCTCCGGAAACCGCGTACGATAAGTTTGAGTCCCAGTTCCGCACGGTTGTCCAGCTGTCGGAACGCATCCACCGCTCGCTCGTTTCTCCTTCGGCTGGGAGTGCGGAGGGAGGGACGTTTAGATTTGAAATCGGGATCTTGCCCGCGCTCTCGCAGGTCGGATTGCTTTGTCGAGAGAGGAGGGTTAGAGGACGCGCAATAGGGTTGTTGAGGCGGTGTAGGGGTTACAAGGAGGGGATTTGGGATGCGGAGGGGGTGGGTGCTGTTGCCGGGTGGGTTAGAGATTTGGAAGAAGGGGTTTGGGTTGAAGAAAGGGATATAAATGGAAGTGAGAATGAATATTGGGGAGGGATGGTGCCTGAGGAGAATAGGGTTCAGCTTGTGGGGTGCGAGATGAGGGTTGAGGAGCGGTGGGCTAGGATTGCTGTCAAACAGTCGGATGGGGTGGAGAGGCAGGAGGTGGTGAGGTGGTGAGTGGGTGTGATTAGGAGCTTGGAGCGCGCACTTTTGCACTTCTCTGTCCTAAATCAGGCTGGAAACGTTAAATTTCGTAACTAAAAATCGATACTGATAAATGTCCTCGCCTGTTTTGGAGCCTGTCGATCTCTGTATTGAAGGTACAATGGTGGAGATGGAGAGGGATGGTAGAAGTAGAGAGAAGAGTACAGCCAGTGTGTCCCAAAAAAAATCAAGGCTAATTAATTATAATTAACTATAGTTAATTATAGTTGATTATGATTTGATTCAGCAAATTTTGACTTGATTTGATTTGATTATAATTATAATTAACTATAATTATTATGTAATACTAAGAAAACTTGAATTTCTCAAGTAACTTAAAAGATTATTAAATAACTAACGGCTATATTAATAAGATATAAACAAAACTTATAGAATATATATAAGAGTATAAAGCTAGTCTAAATCGGGTATAAAAAACTGGATATCTTTCTTAGAAACCTCTTCTTTATCTTTTTTATTTCTCTCTATTTTGAGGGATATTAAAATTAATTAAAGATTATTGAGACATTTTCGAATATATCGAGTAAAAATAAGTAAGTTTATAGTCGAAAGCTTCTTAATTAGAGCTATAATTATTGAGATATTTATATATAAAATAAGGGGAGAAGGAAGTAACCTAAGGAAAATTACTTATTTATATGGAAATCCTCTAGAATCTAGAAGATTATTTAATAAGCCTCTAATTAGATATAACCCCCTAATTTTAAAACGTCTATTTGTAAGAGAGCCTATTTTTAGCTAATTTATTTATAATAATAAGATTTATAAAGTGGAGAAAATCGAGGAGGTTTTAGCGCCTTCGGCTCGCGCCGATTCGCTTACCAAGCAGCGCGATACCTGATTTAGTAAGGAGCACCTTAAGCGATACCGGATACGGACTAGCCTAAGCCTTATTTTAGCCTTATCTCGCTTTCGAACCTCCGAGCGCACGTGCATGCTCACGTGACTAAATAATTAACTATAATCAACTATAGTTGATTATAGTTGACTATGATTTGATTAAGTAGATTTTGACTTGATTTGATTTGATTCAGAGGCTATAATCAAATCAAACTAAATCATTTGACACACTGAACTGTACAGCTTATGGAGTGTGAGATAAGAGCCGAGGAACGATGGGCGAGTACTATCGTTCGTACAAATTAGGCGGGAGGGAGAGAATATTGTGAGGTAGTGAGTGAAATGGAGTGTGAGTATATTGGAGAGTGAGTGTGGTAGAGAGTAAGTATGATAAAGAGCGAGGTGTGAATCATGCCTTATTTCCGTCGCCTTCCTCGAGTGGATGATTCGAGTGAGGAAAGGAATAGAGATAAATTAACTGCTCTTCTCCATTCTCGGTCCTTCTCTTTCTTCAACTCTTCACAACCAGACCCGGGAGAAAGGTAACCGAACTATCGAGGCAGCTAGTTTCCACTTTCCCTCTTCGAAGATCAAATAGTCTTACAGATACACAGAGATAGAACTCCACACATCACAGTCCTAACCACACCGTCAGGATACCTAGCATGCCCTACATCTGCAACGGCGGCGTCGTGAACTGCGTTGCATGCCAGTCCGGAAAGGGTACCTACGGCAAAGACACCACGGTCATGCCAAAAACAGGCTTACCCTCTTTCTCAGCCACCATAATCCCTTCCGGCACTTCCATGCAAGATCAGCAACGCAAGCGAGCCGAAGAGGCCGCAGAGAAAATGCAGCTTGTCAACCAACAGATAGCCGACACTGCCGAAAGACAGAACGGGCTGAAGGCTAGACAGAAGGAAGAACAGGACGAGGAAGAAGAGCATAGGAAGCGAATGCAGAAGCAGCAGCGGGAGGAGATGGAGCGAAGGAGAAAGCAAGTCAGGGATGCGGATGATACGAAGGGCGACCATGAGAGGAGGATTAGAGAGATGGATCGGCAGGCTGAGGAGGAGGAGCTGGCGGCGAGGGGGAGGGGGAGGGACCCGGAGGTGGAAAGGCGGAGGATTGAGGTGATGGATGGTAGGTTGAGGATTTTCTCGTCTTCGTTGCTTTGGTTATTGAGCTGGTTGTGATCTCTAGAATGTGGATGGGCTTTCGGTGTAGAATTGCTTGACTTTTGTTTCGGGCTTTTCCATCACAGATTTACTGACGTACAATAGACTATGAAGCGAAGGAGAGACAGCATGAAGCATGGCTTAAAAAGCAGCGACAGGAGGCAGCGATGGAGAGGGAGTGAGTTAGGCTTGAGGCGGATAGAAAGAGGCAGCAAGCCCGCGATGATACTGAGGAGAAAAGACGTAGGATGGAAGAGGAGTACCAAGAAAAAAAGAGAAAAGAAGAGTATGATAGGAAAGTGAAGGAACAAGAAGCCGAACTTGCAAGAGAGCAGAAAAGGGCAAAGGAAAATGGAGAGAGAGATAGGAAGGCTGCTCTGAGGCAACAACTGGAGTGGGACGAGGAAAAGCACCGAGAATTGGTTAAGAAGCAGAGAGAGGCTGATGTGGAGGATAGAGAGATGGCACAGGAAGCAATTAGGCAACATCAACTGGACGACGTGAGACGCAGACAAGCGGATTTTAAGGAAAAGGCACAACAGTTGCTGCTTGACGACGATGAGCGTAGGAGGCATCGACAACAGCTGATCGCCACACATCAACGGAGGCTGGAAGCTGAGGAGAGTGAGCATCGGAAGATGTTGGAGGATAGCCGAACTAAAGCTGAGAGGGAGAAGGAACTGCGGAAAATGAAGGCTGATGCCGAGAAGGATGAACGAGACTATGAATCTGAGCAGCGACAAGTTGCTTATGATAACAAGCTTCGTGAGCTTGAGGATGGCAATCGTTTGAAAAGATTGAGGCTTGGGATGCAAAGAAAGACATCCGAGGTGACAAAGCGACAATTTGAACAAGGGTTGAAGCAAGCTAAATTATTGACGTATGAGGATAGAAAACAAAGGGAGCAGCTGCTGTTGGAGGATGTAGCCGCCCAAGGAGATCGTTGTAAGTTCCAGTGCCCCAGAGTACTAATTTATCTTATAACAATGTCCGATATCTCCTGTAACATTCTACTGGTAATGTCCTAAATTAGCTGAAACATTGCACTCCCGACACTGCTTGAAAGAAGAACGCTTACTCCAAATTCTTGGGCATAGGTAAGGACCGAGACCAGGAGCTTGATCGCGAAGAAGAAATGTGTCTTGATAAGGTGTAGTCAGATTATGAGAGAAGGCGATTGGCTCGTGAGAAAAGTGGACGCGCGGAAAGAGACTTGAAACAGGAATTGGAGAGGCAAAAGGCCCACAGAGCGAAGACGGCCGAGGATCTAACGAACACAAAAGAAAAATGGAAGAGGTGCGTGATTGTACGCTTGCAGTATTGGACAATTTGCTGATGCGTACACCTAGTTTCAACAACGGAGAAACGATATGTCTCGGGACAGTCGAATCGACAGTCGGACTGTCCCCGATAAGGATCGATAAGCTCGATTCTGCTGCGTTTTCGAGCAGATTTACGGGCCAATTACCTATATCCCCTAATAGCCCACCCCCAAAAAATCGGGTTTTAATTATGCCTTTATTATAATTATAAATTCTATTATATATTAATACTTTATAATAATTACAAATTTTATTATAAATTAATACTTTATAATAATTATATATTTATTTCAAACTAGTAATATAATCAAAATTACTTATAAAATTTATTTTTATTTTTATAATTTTTGCCTTATTATTAAATCCTTTACTAAAGCTTAATTAAAAATAAATTTTTAAATTTTAAATTTTTTTTTTCAAGTATTAAAAAAATATTAGAAAGTTTTTAAATTATTATATTAAAGTTATTTAAAATTTTGGTTTATATTATTATTATATTAAAAAGAAATAAGTAATTAGAGATTATAAATAATTAGCTTATATATACTTTTATTATATAAAAAGCTATAAGAATTAATTATTTAAATAAACTTTTAACTTATAACTTATAACTTATAATTTAATATATATATATATTTTATTAAAAATTCTTATATCTTTATTATATTATTACTTAAAATATTACTTTTTTTAATTCTTATTTATATATATAAGAAAAAGAAATAAGAAAGAAATAAGAAATATAATAATAGAAATAAAGTAATAAAATAAGATATAAAAATTTATAATTCTAATATTTTATAAAATCTAAAGCTAAAAAAAAAGAAATAAAATATAATAGTAAATAAATATAATTGAGATTAATTTAAATTTTAACTAAAGTTAAGTTTATATTAATTATATAATTCTAGTTATTATAAAATAAAAAATAAAAAATAAGTTTTATGAAATATAATTTATAAAAAAAAGAAAGTCTTATAATTATAAGTTATTTATTTATTACTAAATTTTAGGGCTATAATTACTAAAATATAAGCTATAAATATTAAAGATTTAGTATTTAGTCTTTTTATAAAATATAATATAAATTTTTAATAAAAAGATTTTTATTTTACTTTTATTTTTATATTTATAAAAAAAGAAGAAAAAAAGAGAAAGAGAAAAAAAGAGAAAAAGAAAAAGAAGAAGAAAAAGAAAGTATAAGGTATTTATTAGTAGGTAATAAGATAATAGAATAAATCAGTATATTATAAAACTATAATATTAAATTCAATATAGAACTAATTTCTATTTCTTCTCTAAGGTCCAGAAAAGCCTCCTCTAAATAGAAGGCCCTAATAATATATATATAATTAGTAATTTATAAGCCTAATACTTATAATATAAATAGTAGTTAGTTATAATATTCAAAGGCCTTTAATCTTCCTAATTAATACCTGTAATATCCGAGGTTCGTTATATATCCTTAAGTTATATATAATACTATATATATTATAACTATATCTCTCTTCTAGAATCTTATTTCTAAGATCTATTAATTCATTCTAGTAAAATATTTAATTAATTGAGTATTTAATCGAAATAAACTTCTAGTATCTTAAGAGATAGATTTACTAATATAATCTGGATTATAGATATAAAAATTATCTAATTAGATTAGGGCTAAGTAAATAAGAAGAAAGAGTAATTACATTTCAGGTATAAAGACTAGCTAGTAATTACAATTTCGTTTGAGATCTAAATATTCTAATTAGCTTAATTCAAAATACTAAAGTACTATTCTATAAAATTAATACTATTTATTAGATTTTATATTAGAATAATCTAAATAGCTATATAGAAAGAATTTAATAAATATTTATATAAGAAATCTATATAAATGTTTCTGAGGTTCTAGAGATTATATATAGGCTTCTAGAAGTATATATTAATTAATTATACTAATTTCTGATTAGAACTAGCTCAAAAACTAGTAATTAATCCAGATAGTTCTCTATCTCTATAAAAGAATCTCTTTATATTACTATATATTCTCTTTCTTTCTAATAACTATATATATAATAACTTTTTCTATTATTACTTTCTAGTTTCTTCTTCTATCTTTTTTCAAGTCTTCTTTAATTATTTTTAATTAATTCTATAATATCTTCTTCTAGTTTCGTTATCTGTCCTTATAATAATAAGTATAAAGATAATCTTATAGTCTTCTTTTCTATTACTAATAAATACTTGAAATATTTCAAGTATTTACTTATTAATTCCTTTATCTTATATATTATAGTATCTAGTAAGAAGAATTATAACTATTATAATAAGTATTCTAAGTTTTATATATTAGTAAGTTTTTTAGTTTTAATATTTATTAAAGCTAATATAATTTCAGATTTCTTACTATTTATTAGAGGCTTGCTAGTTCTAGGAAAATACTATTATAACTTTTAAGAAATTTCTTAAAGTATATTCTAAATAGTATTATACTAATAAGAATAATATAATTAATTAGGTTTTCGAAAACTGGAAGAATACTAATAAGTTTCGAAATTCTTTTTCCTGTTTTAATAAAGTAGATAATAATACTATTTGAATTAGTATTCCGAAAATAAGTTTTTTCTAATATATTTAGATATTTACTAATTTCTTAAAGAAATACTATAATATCTATTTTTAAGGTATTAATTTTATTACTAAGCTTATTATAGAGATTACTAAATAGTCTACTACTAGTATTTCAAATACTAATAATATAATACTTATAGCTATTCGAGACTTAATTTCAGAAGTTCGAGCTTTCTATAAGATATATATAGCTATTATAAGTTCCTTATTTACTTCTCTTAATATCCTTAATACTAATATTATTATAGTATAACTATATTTTATTAAGAGATAAATAGATTTTGGAGAGTATTAGCCGATTCTTTACTAAGTTCTAAATAGAGCTAGTATTTAGTATTCTTACTTTAGAAATTGGGAATTTATAAGAATTAGAGTTTATTTATTTGAGATATCTATAGCTAGTTTATTTATAATAAATCTTTCTTAATTCTGAATCTTTTTCTAATAATTTAAATATAATTCTTATAAGTTTTAATAAAACTTTAAAAAACCTTTATAAATAAAAAAATCTAGAGAAAAAATATCTCTATTATTATTCTGGACCTTTTTTTAGTTATTTAGATTCTCTCTTTCTTCTAAATAGCCTTTTTCTTAATAGTTCAGAATTCTTTTTAATTTTAAAAGATTATTAAAAGATAATTTCGGATTCTAAACTATAGTTTTAGTTATATAATTTTAGAAGTTCTTTAGAATTTTTAAGGTTAGAGAAAATAGATAACTAGATATTATAATCTTTAGACTAGGCTTTCTATTTAATTAAATACTATTATTTCTTACTTCTATTATCTTATTAATAATTAATAATAGCTTCTATTTTCTATTCTTATTTTTTATTATTATTTACTAATTCCGGAAGTTCTCTAAAGAAATATAAATATAGCTTCTAATTCTTTTTTATTATATACTTTTTAAAAAAAGAAATATAAAAAGTTAGATATAAATAATTATATATATTTAGTAGTTCTAACTTATATACCGAATTACTAATATATTTAAGAATTCTAAATAGATTTATAAACTTTAGTTTAAGCTTTTCTGCTTTAAGTTTAATATTCTTTATTAATAGTATTATTTAGGCTTTTTTAAAATAGTATTTAGCTAATTGGTATTTATTATAATAGGTTTTCCGGTTATTTTATATATAATATTATAAATCTTTAAGCTTTCTTTATTCTATTTTAAAGGTTTCTAGCCTCTTATATATAGCTAGTATCTTTCTTATAATTCTGTTTTTAAGATTCTATAGAAGTTAAGAATAATATTTATAATATATATAGAAAAATATATTCTATAAAATCTAATATTTTAAATTATTATATATAAATTCTGTAAAAAATAATTTCTTAAACTAGTTATTCTTTTAAATATTATAATAATATTTCAAGTAGTATTTTAAGACCTAGTTCTATCTTTCTATCTAATTATTTATCTGAAAATAATAAGCTATATTTAAATACTATTTATATATTAAATAGAAGTAGAAAATAAACTAGAACTAGCTAGTAAATACTATTTCTCGATTAGAAATAATTTTATTAGAGAGACTAAAAATTAAAAAAATATATTTCTATATAATTTTAGTAAATTCTGGAAAGTTAATAGTTTTATAATATATAATATATCTTACTATTTTAAAGTACTAGTAAATAACTATAAGAATTATATTAAAATCGAAATCTTTTACTAGATTTTTATATAATAATAGACCTATAATAAAATCTATAGAGATCTTATTTTAGAGTTTCTTAAGCTATAGTAAACTGCTAAATAGACTATATAATAAATGCCTCTTTATCTTAATTCTCTAATAGATATTATATTCTCAATAATAATTACAAATATCTTCTTCTATATTCTTCTAATACTAGAATTTTCTAAGAAACTCGAGAGTTTTCTCTATTTTATAATATCTAGCTATTAGATTATTATAATAAAGCTTTATAACTTCTTGATATAAAACGGGATTATTAGATATAACGATTCTGGAATAGTATCTAAATAGGCCTAAATTATTTTTCTAGATTTCTTTTCTTTTAATATCTTTTTTACTAAGTCTCTATTTTATAATATTCTAATATTAAAAATTATTTCTCTAAGCTATCTGAATAATATTTAAAAGAAATTCAGATAGAGAGGCTAGTATTATAGCTCTTTTAGTAGCTATATATATTTATATATAGGGAATTAGATATTTATAATTATCTAATTTAAAAATTCGAGAAATTAAAAAGTCTTTAGTTTTATTAAGTAATATAGTTATAGATATTCTTATTACCTTAGTTATAGTAATAGAGCTTTTAAAGTATCTCTCTATACTTTGCTTTTTAACTAATTCTATAGTTAAGAGATCTATAAGATAATCTATCTATTTATCTTATAGTAAATATTTCTTTTTAGC